AAAAAAATGTAAAACTGGACGAGTTGACTTTTTTGGATAACTTTAAAAATATTAACGCGAAAAACTGTCGTTTAACGAAATCTACAAGATAGGATTTTGAAGTAGACCAACATCCCCTTGATGTCAATTAAATAGTTATTAAAAGTTATTAAAAGCTTGGATCGTTGGTTGCAGCTCTGGTGAAGTAAAGCTGTGGCGAAGTAAAGCTGATTCTTCTTTGACCACGTCCACAGTTTCCTTATAACTTGATCCGCTTATCCTTTGGTTGGTTTCTATTTGGTTATTTCTGTTGAGTGTCTATCTTTTCTATCAAGTAGTTTAATTAAGGTACTGGGATATACATGTAGGTAATCTAGTCATTAATTCTCTTTTTAACATTTCATTGGTACTTACTAAGATTAAATCAATTATTCTAATAAAAATATACGTTTTAATAATTATTTGTCGGAAACAAGAGTTAAAAAATTTTCCATTTAATTGTACATGTGCTTAATATTTTGCTAATGAAAAGTACAAAGAAGAAAAAGAAAAATTAGAGTAGAGAATAACGATTTTTATCAAGATTAAAAATCGTTTTCAGCCTTAATTAATTTTTAAAAGAGTACACCTGTAGAGATACTGTTTCTGTGTATTTTTAAAGTTCCTTGTTTTAAGTATGTAACAAAATAAGCCATCTACTAAGCCTGTATAATAGCCACTTCAAAACAAGACGAGATGATCTCGACTCGACTCGATATCGTCTCAAGGTCTCGAAAAAAAAAATCTGCGTGACCCTCGGATAAATTTTTGGAGACCTCGAAACGAAAGCGAGACGAGACGAGACTTTGAAAAATTTTACGAGCTTAAAACCAAAATATTTCGAGACGAGACGAGAAATCTCGTAGCATTTCTTAGTGCATATCCCATCCATCGATCTCATCATTCACAATCTCATCATAATCATCCCTATCAATATATTAGACTGTTATTCATAACAAATGTGTTTTGCAGGTTCTGTTTCTTATATAAATATTTACTTCCACTGACACTACTAGTATATACTACCGTTCTAACAAGCACAGGTATATTATTATGCACATGCTTGTTAACTCTTAGAACAACTCGTCACTCGTCTCAGTGCCAAGACATGTTTGCTACCTGTCCTAAACTAAAATAAAAAATTCTCTTTGAAAATTCGTTTTTTTGCATGTAACCTTCAAGCTTTTATTCTATGTACTTATTATTGTCATTCACGCAAGTTTCGAATGTACTTACATTGATTGTGTTATTTTGCGTGTATCAAGCGATGGCAACGTGCGGATGTGGAACTTCAACAACCGGACCTTCCAAAGGAGCATCTCGCTAAAGTGCTAGCACGTGAAGTATTTTATTTATTTAGTGATATTTCTCGCTTATATTTATTCACCTAGTTTTTATTAATTTGCGGTAGGAATCAAGCAAATATTATCGATTATTCGAGACACGACGAACAAATACTTAATGAAATTTTTTTTTAAACAATTGAAGGTGCGAGATTATTTTCTCCGTATTTTCCGCATTTGTTGATGTATTTATGCTATTTGTTTTCGAGTACTTTTAAATATTGAACAAGCTGTAATGAACTTTTTTTTTTTATACTGCGTGTAAGTATAGGCTATGCTGATTAATTTTCACGTGATATTTTATAGACTTTTATAGGTTGTATAATAATGTTACCGTTGGAGTCGAAAAATGAACTTCAATGCATATAATATGTGCACTTCTCCAAAAGCGCCTAAATAAATTATACAATAAAATTATATTTGAATAAACTGAAAAAATTGGGCGTCAAGTAGCATTTATTTTATTATAAACGTAAAAATGATCATAATTGTTATTCTTAGTACAAACAATAATTGTCGATTACAATAACAATCAATGTAGTCTGAAAAAACAAAAATGTTAAAATCAAAACCAAAAATCCCAACTTTATACGTGCAAATAAATGATCAAAATGAAAAAAAAAAAAAAAAATGAAAAAAAAAAAAAAAAAATGTAACTAAATAAGAACTGTTATGCGTTTTATTAATTTAGATTTTTCTATCATAGTATCACAATTTTCTTCGAATTATGTAGTACAAAAACCCTTAAATATAAGGCCGTCTATACGAGAGAATCGGCGTATGTCGACTTCTTTTTGAAAATTTCGGAAGAAACTACTTTCATCGTTCATGCCTGCATTTATCGATCCCTTTTTCAAAATGTTGAGAGCAGCAGTAGCAGCACATTTGTCTTAATGGTAAGTAACTCTGCTGCCACTCACTGACTCTGATCCTATTGTTGCGCTATGCATACGGGCACAGCACAGTGGTACGAAATTTGTTTTTCGAATGTATCCTATTCCCTTCGTCATACAAAGAATAAGTACTTAAGGGTCAGCAGAGAGTGAACGTTGCCTTTGATTTTTAAATTTCGATGGAACCAAATTAAAAGTAATGAGAGCCACGGTGTTTTTTGTTTTGCGCTGTTTTTCCCGTATACAACCTAATTCACAAGATTATCGCAATAATTGACCTCTTTTTAATAATACGCGACGTTTCCGGAAATTATAACTAGTTGGCCCTGCTAAAAGGTAATTTTTTAACAGATTTATTCCGTGTATCTTTCGAACTTTAGGTCCAACTTTATCTTATAAAATTATTGGCTGGTTACATAGCGTAGTTTGTTAAAATGTAAGCAAATGACAACATTCATTTTTTATAACTGCCGTTTAATACACCACATCAGGTAAGAGTTTCGTTTCAGCTGTAGACTTTTTGTGCAGTAGACAAGATTTGCTTTGCCCATTGTAATAATCGGTTTCACCGTAACTCTGGATTGCTTTTTGTAAAAAATGCTGTTAAAAATTTTTTTGAGTCATTTGAACGGTTTAAACTAAACAATTTTAGAAAATAAGTACGATTCGCAGATATAATTGAAAATAAAAAAAAAAATAAAAAAACTTAAGAGAGCGAATGTATACATCACGGGAGACAACTTTCTCATTGATTGAGTCAATTTCCATCACCGATACATGTATAAAGAATAGGTATAGATTTTGCTCGTTCTAATTATCGTTATAATGTAAAGAATCATTACAAAAAATATTTTTTACATAGTGAATTTGTTTATTTTTTTGTGTTAATGTGTTATGCAGTTTTAACAAATAATTATATAAAACTTTCCAACTTATACGAATTAAATGGATTAACTTAATACAGTAGTTGGATTTTTGAGCAAAACTAAAACGCAGTATTATCTTTTAATTTTTTTGTTATCTTTGTTTTTATTATTTCATACGATCGTAAAAAATGTCACAAGGCATAATTAAAATTTAGAAAGTATTTATTTACTGGTGCATATAAATAATCGGTTCAAAATTGGTCACACTATGTCGGGTCGTATTGGCACTTTCCATTGAATCACTTCACTAAGAGTTCCTCAACGAGTGGTCTTTTGACACCTTAAGCAGTTCCCAAATGATTGTGGTATGTCCCCAGCAACTGTACAACATTCCCCGAGGGCTGTCATCCATCGGTGGTCGAGTGTCGTCTTTATCCTTCGTCAGGGCTGAGTGTTGTTCAATTTTCGTCTAAGAAAAAAAAGTGTATTGTAAAAAACAATTAAAAAAAAAAAAAAAAAAAAAAACTGCGATATGCGTTAATTTACCTTTTCTTTTTTTTGTGTGAAGCAAGTCCGCTATCTTCGCTGTCTTCAGATTCACTGCTGCTACTACTGCTGCTGCTCGAAGAACTGCTAGATGAACCGCTCGAGGAGTCACTAGCTACGCCTGTGTCTTTTTTTACGTCAATTGTTTCTGCAAGAGCCGCTAATTCTGGCTCTTTTTCTCTTAGTACTTTTAGCCATTTGCGCGACAATTTCGGTCGACCTCGAACCTGAAAATAACATTGTATCAGATATTTTGTTTTTAATTCAATACAAAAATGTTATTTTGACGAATGATAATCCTTTTTAGATATAAATATTTTGGAAAATTAAAATTAAAAATAAATGTTAATCCATTTTTTATTTGAAACTTAAGAGTATAAAACGCAATGAAGCTTGTCTTACCGTCTTGTGCCATACGACCGGAAAGTTAGTTCGGGAACAAAAATTTTGCGTTACAGCAATTGTATCATCGAGATTAAGAACAACATGCCACCAGCCACCAGGCACAAATACTGTTTCTCCAGGATTTTGTAAAATTTCTATAGGTTTGCAGTCTTGTGGCCACGTCGGCAGTTTCGTACGGGGATAAATAACGGAGAACCAGGTGATAGCTTCGTCTCTCTGCTTACCACCTTCTGCACCAGTTACTTTTAAGAGCTCTCTAGGAGTATGAGTAGGAAACAAACACCATCTCTTGTGTCCAGAGATAAGGGCGTTCCAGGCACTAGTCCCAAGAGGATCTATGTGAATTCCAGTTCCTGATATAAAAAATATGTATTAGTTGTATTATTAAAATTTTTATTTCAAGTAGTGTATATCTAACTTACCAGATCTCTCAGGCCCCATAACAAACCAACGATAAGGGGGTCTCCTGTGTTCCCCAGCATGTTGGAAGAGATCGTCTCGGAAGTACAATGGAATCACATAATCTTCCAACAACTTTTTTCTTCGAGGATGTTCACCGAAGGAACTGTCAAATATATATAGCGGAGAATCATCCTCATTGTTCTGCATGTAGCGAATGTAATATTTCATTTTCATTTTAACACTATAGCCCTCGTTATCCTCTCCACACTTAAATTTTTGGTTTCTATATTTCTTTGCCAACCTCTGTAAATTTTTATTTGGCAAAATGTTGAAAAAAAACATACAACATCAATATTTTTTTATCAAGAATCGTATGTTACCTCTATCGTCCATTTGTATTGTGCCTTCCAGCCATTCTGAACACCTTTTATTATCACAGGTATGTAAGGTTTTTCGAACCTCCTAATAAATTCATCAGCTGAAACTTCAGCCTCGTTAATACGTTCAACATTATCTTGGAAGTCCCAAAATTGTCGGAATTTTTTGTAATAATTATGCTGGGTCCAAGCTGTCCTGTCAGCAAGTTCTGTAAATGAAATATTTCGCTACTTACTAAATACAAGATCCTTTCAAAGAGTATAAAATTAATAAATAATATAAAATATAAATTACTTTACAACTACAGTTAAAAAGAATCAGTGACATAATTGTAAATAAATAATAACTTGCTTCTGGAATGACTTTGCAATGGAAATTTTAAAACGAAGCTCTCAAATTGACGGGAATTGACACTTTTTTATTTTTACGTGCGTAAAAATGAATTCACTCTTTTGAAACATAAAATAAACGTTCGACTCCTACCTTAAGCGAACCAAGATAGGTACTTAAGTTGGTATAAGCATAAAAAAAAGGTCAGTGGCAAAGATTTGACGTGTACCTATTACGTAAAGCAACAACGGTATCAAACAGTTTTTCAGAGGCTCGTCATATCAGTGATTCATTAATTGTTTCTTTTTTTCTCAGCTTGAAAAGAGCAAGACGTTTCCAATCGATTAGCCAAAGTGTATCGTAAAGAAAAGAAAAAAACGAATCCATCCTTGGAATGGCATGAAACATGCTCAGCTCGCTAGAGAAAATTGGAGCAGGAGCAACGTTCATCGGCAAAATGGATAAGGTATGACAATGTGCGGTGAACAGCGAAAGCTCACAACGAATTCACTGTCGGATTAAGCGTGTCAAATTCAAGGACAATCCGACGTACACAACATACTATACATGGTCGTATATATGTAGGCATACAGCACACCTACACACGACGGTTGCGTAGAGGTTATGGAGAAAGAGAGAAAAGAATTTAGGGCATGCATATAAATCAACCGCTCTAGAACACATGGGATTGCAAATAGTTATTGGGACAGGAGGGTAAGGATATATACGCAAAGATGGGGTCGATCCTGACCCTACTTGAAGCATAATCATGATGACGAAAATACACGTCGACTTACCGGGTCTTGCTTTTCTTTTGATTTCACGAATGCGTTTTCGTGATCGGTGATCCAGCTTTAATTCCTCCGACATCTTCTTGCACAATATAACTCTGAACTAATGCACGGCAACCTCGTCGTCGTCACCGTTTTTACAAAATAGAGATAAAAATAACTACTCTAATTGTCCTGCTGTCCCTTGTATAAAATATAAATACGTAATTATTTGTACAACACAAACACAAATTTTATTTACAAATTGGGTATTGCGGACACACGACGCTCCGCAGGACGAAGAGCAAAAGAGCCGTCGACTGATCGGCTCCTGTCTGCTCGTCTCTCTTGCTTGCTTCATGTATACCTATACATACGAGTTACGAGTATATTGTACTGAGAGAGCTAGAATAGAGTATTATAGTTATACGCAGTACGCAGCATGTGACCATGTATATACTTGTAAACTTCTTACAGACTCCAGGAGGTGTCGTCACCGCGGCATTTTTTGTTGAGCCTTGACTCTCTCCTTCACGAGCAAGCTCTATTTTTACACATTACTTTTTTTACGCAAGTGAGAGGAAATTTAAGGGAATCGTATGGTTTATTTATAAAATTACGATAGAATTTTGTACTCGGGACATTAAGAGACATGCAATTGAAAAAAATTGTAGTAGGGCGTTAAAGTTGTCTGTCTCTATACGTGCCTACGTGACGAACGGTAAGAGAATCATGTCCCGTTCGTTTTTTGAGAGAGAAAGAAAAAGAGGATAGAGAGGGGGACTAGGGGGGCGGGGGGAGGGGGGCGCAGAGAGAAGTTCATTGCTCCGAAACGAACTTATTATCTTTTTTCAATTCTAATGCTTGTAAGTAAGTATACGAGTACTTGCGCCTGTCTTTTAAAAGGTTCAAGTAATTTTATTCAACCAGCGGAAATTCGATTTCTTGAGATTATCTACACTTTCGTTTTTAACACTTGCACTGTTTGAAAAATTGTTCAAATCGCAAATAAAAATTTACCGACACATAATAATAATACATTCCCTATTATATTTAACAAAAATAAATTTTGTCTCATGACATGTACTCTTGCGAAAACTTAAGCCAGACGTTTGGTAAGCGAGAATCGGTTTTTTGAAAAAATTCTATTGTTATAACGGTTCATGCACATCCCCTTTTGCGCTCTCATCCCTTTAAATCGCATACTTGTTAATATAATATGTATAATCACAAAAAAAAGAGAAAAAAACCAAAATGATGAAAAAAAAGATAGTAACATGATGTGCAGTGCACGATGCGAGAATCGGTGAAGTGTACGTGTATACTTAGATCGAATTATGTTATACAAGTACATCTTTGTGATAAAGGATTATTATGTATACGTATAGGATTATCGGTACTTAGAATTGTATGGTATAAAGTTTAACTATTCGAGCAACTGGTGCAGTTTAATTTTTTCTCCGAATCTACATCGCCGTTCGTTCATTTCTTACCGATTGTTCGGTACATACATAATGTATAAAAAATGGATATGTGTAAGGTGTCATTTGCGCGCTGTACATTATTCAGCGAATTTATTGTACTTATGTAAGATCACTACTAGTAGATGACAAAAAATAAATTTTGTTTGAAACCGGGTACCTTAGCCGTTTTGTTTTGGCTTCATTTTAAAACTGAAAAACTGCACGCATCGGGAGTACTTATACGTGAAGCCTAAAGGAAAAAAAATACATTCTTTAAGCCCATTATTTAATTATTTGTACCCATTCGTGACTCACTGTTGTCCCGATTCTTAAGAAATCGAAACACTCACTAAGTATACATATGTACGTCTTAATGCGAAAACACTTGTTTAAATGAAAATAATTTGATCGTGGCTATTAACATTTCCCATTTTCAACGCAATACGCATGCATTATACATTACAGCGCGTGACTTTTTGCACCCATCACAGCTGACGCCCTATACTGACTGCAGGTGTTTTTGGAAAATGAAAATACAGTTGATTAGAACTTAAGTACTTAGGTAGTACTGTTCTTATTCAAGTATTGGAATCACAACGAAGAAAATGATAATTTCCAGAGTTCATAAAATATTTAAAAAAGCGTAATTTTGCAAACGATCGAGATGATGAAAAATTATATTTTAAAATATCGGGAAGAAAAACAAAATTGTACATATTATGTATTGTTATACATTTTACAGTTTAAAATTAATATTTGAGATTTCCATCGCCATCACGCAATGCGATATGGTTTAAAAAAAATATAAAAATTTTATCCAAAGAACCTTTTGGCTATTCCGAAACACAAGTGTCGTATGCTCTATTTCTTTCCTACTCGTACTTGGACTGAAATGTATTTAGGAACAAATTCCTTGTGGTGGACGGATGGGGGAGGTGAGAGGCGCGGAGGTGGTAGTAGAGAGAATAATAAAAGGTGGAGGAGATCCATCGCGCGCCATGTTTTGGTGTCGTCACCCCCTCACGGCCCTCCCCACCCACTCCACACATACACACATGGTGTGTGAGTGTGTGTTTTGTGTGTTTTCCAAGCGCGCAAACGAGAGCTGTGCTGTGCTCTCGCGCTTGTCAGCAGCGTGTCGTTACTGCCGCGCGTGTAAGTTAGGGCGCACCGCAGCAGCAGCAGCTCCTGCAGGAGCAAACACCAAATAGTGAACACCAAAAGACAATAACACTCCACCGTTGAAGAGCGAACTATACGGTGCACGGATAGGCCACGGTGAACTTTCTCTCTCCTGCCTTGCACGCTCAACCGAAGAGCGGAGAAGAGCAGCAGCCACGAGCTCCTGATGCTCTCCTCCTCTTCGACGTCGTCGTCGTCGACACAAGTATTCCTACCTACATAGCTCGTACAAGTCGTACACCAACATCAACAGTTTCTCTCACATGTGCAATCTATAGTAAATTGTAGTGTTATTATCGCGTAATCACGTGCACACATTACTGCTTATATAAATAAGGAAGGTAACAAACACACTTAAGCATCGTCTCTCGTCTCCGCTGCCTATACAGCATTCCAAAGTGCGTCGTGTGTGCAACTGTGTGCAGTGTGCTGATCTCCAAAATCGAAGACTCCAAAGGTGCAGCCTGATTTGTCGACGTATAAGAGGCGGGCGGGTGGGCTTCGCTGCGTTAAGCAACTTCTGCCCGATCAAAAGCCCCGTTTGCGCGTCATCGTCTCCTAGTGCGCGAAATCACCATAGCCTCGCTTGCTCTTCAGGTAGCTGCTATCATCGACGTGCATATGTATATAGCTGTGTGTGCGGTAACATTAGGGCATATAGCTCTACTCGGAGAGCAGTCGGAGCGAAGCCAAAGTAGAGGCGCGCGCAGCTGAAGGAGTAGGTACTTGTTGTGCACCTAGGGTGTCTACTACGAGGAGAGCATAGGCGGCGCGCGCATAGAGCCAGACACGCAGGCAGCTGCTCCTCTGCGTGTATATATAGGTACTCTGTAATAGGTTCCTATACGTTCCTAGTCGCGTGCTGTTGGTTACTGTACCTGAACCTATCATACATATACCTACATCAGTTATACGGGTAAGCAAGCAGTACTTACATTACATTGGACGAAGAGAGAGGGGAGCGGGACGCGCGTGGACGCAGCAACAGCATCATCATCGGCAGGTCAACACCATCAACATACCGTACCACAGCCATCACGATCGGGCCCCGATGGAGCTGCGATTGCATTCGCCCGCCGGGGCTGACCCTATCGTCTACCAGTGGCCGCTCACGGCCGTTCACGTATGTACCCTGTGTCCATATTTTAAATGCACATAATTAATATTATGATAAAAACAAGTGCATTGGTACGTTTTCTGTATTGCTATTACGATCCGCGCGTCTCGTGCTTCATTTGCTTTGAGAAAAATTTTCCTAGTGTATCCAGTTCTTCCTTTTTCTCTCTCTCTTTCGCAACTTGAGAAAAATTGTATTACAAAACCATGTACTTGTCGTCCCAACGCTATGAAATCTAGTCGCCGAACCTTACATCATTACCTAATCAACTTCACGGGAAAGAGTCGACAATGTCCCGTTAGCATGACCAGTTCCATTCTCAACAACTCGACTCGCTTCACTTATACTTTCACGCTTCTCCGAAATAACGATTCGATTTTGTTTATAACATTATACAATTTTTCCATCGTCCGGCAAACTTCTAAACAGTCCGCATGGTCTTGTTGTTTACATCATCTCTCCTCACGCCATGCGACACCCTCGTTGGCACGCTCAGTTTAAAGCTAAACAGCCCTCGAATTTAAAGGCCCACGTGGGCGTTAAACTCCGGACTTGGATGTAATAATGGAGTATAGCTAATCGTGCACTTGACAATAGCTATGTTGAAATAACAATTTATAAAAAAAAAAAAAAATTATTTAGTGTTTTTCATATCTGCATAAAAATTATCAGAAATGGCTCCCTTGTTCGTATATTTATAAAAAATAAACCATCCTTACACGTGGCCATAGAATAATTTTTAATAGCATATCGTTCTCTTACCGTTTTATAAACACGCAGTCTCTTAAGATGTACTTAAGTAGCAGTTTTTTTGTCATGGACCTACTGCAAAAAAAATTGCTGTGTATCATGGAAAATAAATTTATATTAGGGGTAGCTTTTTATAATTATACATTTGTAAAAATACAATGCATCCATGCATGTGTTGTAGCTTGTGTATAATACCGCTACGCGCACTATAGTAGTACATATATGTATATGCCTTGCCGTGTAGTTTTGTGTGGTTTGAGCCGGACGATGTTCTTTATCTTATTTCTATAGGAGTATGGATGTATACTTACGTATCCCCAAGAACTTCTCACGACTCGCAGCTCCAATACGATGATACTTTCTGATATGATAACGATACATTTACTCTTCTGCTCTACTTATACAAAAAAGCACACATTCATACAATTCGTGCATGGTTTGCTTTGTAACCTCGTTCTTCTTTTTTTCTTTTTTTTCCTTCTTTTTGCAGTCCTCGCTTTGATCCAGCGTTCGCGCGCGCTTTCGCTATCTCTTGCGAAACTGGATGCACGTGCTGCAAGAATTAGCGTTTGCAGTACATTACCTTATGTCATAAGAACTTTTTTTTTTCCATTTTCAATATTTTGAGAGAATAGGTATGTTTTTCAAAATTGTACTGAAAATCGCAGTGAAGAATTTTTTCGAGTCTTCTTTTTCTTCTACTTGTCGTATTTTGATCATTTACCATACTAATAAATAAATATTAAACTAACATTTGATAAATTATTTTTTAAGGATCGTCACGATGGGGCAATAGATGTGGTAGAAACAATGAGATGGGTTTGCGAAGATTTACCAGACTTGAAGCTGCCCCTAGAAAACAACATACTTCACAATTATGATACACGGGACTATGAGAGCATGAAAAACTTGTGTGATAGGTTCAACCGAGCCATCGACAGCTTAGTACAATTGGTGAGCATTGTCTCAAGTAGTTTCTTCATGAATTAAAATTTTTATGTATCATATATTCTTAGTTTATTTTTTTCATTTTTAATAAATTATTCTTGTCTTAAATGCAGGAAAAGGGCACTAGTTTACCAACCCATAGGCTAAATAAGAGGCCGAGTAGAGGTTTACTTAGACACATACTGCAGCAAACGTACAATCAGTCCGTTACCGAGCCCGACAAGCTCAATCAGTATGAACCTTTTTCACCAGAAGTATACGGGGAGACGAGTTACGAATTGGTTTGCCAGATGATCGATCAAATTGATGTCACGGAGGACGATGTTTTTGTAGACTTAGGTTCCGGCGTTGGCCAGGTAGTACTTCAAATGGCTGCATCGACTTTCTGTAAAATTTGCATTGGTGTAGAGAGGGCGGAAGTACCTTCGAAATATGCAGAGGTAAACACTTTTTACGAAATAAAGTCTGAATTAATTTGGAGCGTCAATGTTTATGGATTAATGTTTTGCTATTCATAGAGTATGGAAGTCAATTTTCGTAAATGGCTAAACTGGTATGGTAAGCGTTGTGGAGAATACCGATTGATCAAAGGAGACTTCCTCACAGACCAGCACAGAGAAAGTATTACGTCTGCGACAATAGTTTTTGTTAATAACTTTGCGTTTGGACCTACCGTCGATCACCATCTCAAAGAACGTTTTGCCGATTTACGTGATGGTGCACGTATCGTCTCCTCGAAATCTTTCTGTCCCTTAAATTTTAGGATAACAGACAGAAATCTCAGTGGTAAGTTTAATTTCTACATCCATGTATTTCGTCGTAATAAAAAAGTTTTTACAGTACATGAGATTCCAATGGAACTTTTTCTTTCCATCAGATATCGGTACGATAATGCACGTCTCGGAGATGTCGCCTTTGAAAGGCTCGGTCTCGTGGACTAACAAGCCAGTGTCGTACTACCTGCATGTGATCGATCGTACAAAACTCGAGCGTTACTTCAACCGATTGAAGAACAACAAGCAAGGGTGCTTCGATAACGATAATTCAGATTCTGTGATAAATAACACTGCCAGCAATAACCATAGAATATCGAGCAGAGGTGAGCGGGCCAAGCGCGATTTGTCCCGCCAACTGGATAACACAAACAGCGATTCGGATGCCGAGGAACATTCTATCAAGCGGCAGCCCAAGATGCGTCGGAAATTAAACAGGAAGGCAGCTACCGCTAGTGCTCCGGGAAACGGACCCCAGCTCCGGACGTCGTCGAGCAGGGGTAGGCAAAAAAGGGGTAGGACAAAAAAGGCGATTAATATATCGGGCCTGGATTTGCTGCACAGTCAGACGCTGCTGAGCACGTCGCCCCAGGCGATTGGCAAGAAACCGCCGCCCGCGCCTGGAACCGTCGATCAACAGCTCTCGACAATCTCGCTGGCTTTACAACCTAATCCGGCATCCGTGCACGAAGAGCTAAGCATACCTGCTGCTCCGAACGCAACGCCCTATGCGTTGCAAATTCTTCTAGATTTGTACAGGTAAATAGGAGTACATTATCTACCCTAATACGGATATTATATCTATGATGCAAATGATATCGTGTATTTATTCAATTTCTATTTAATCAGCATTATTTTATAGAAGAAAATCAATTTATTCTTTACAATAATGGCGTGGGTAAAACTATAAATTGTCTTAAACTAGAGTGAAAAATATCCCCAGTGCTATTATTATCGGAACAATTTACACATACAAAAATGACTAACTTCCTAGCATGCCAATAGCACTCATGATTTTTGCATTTTTGTTGCCATTAACACTCTTCTCGCAATAATTGAATTTAAAAATTTTTATTTTCAGGGATCAATTTATGGCAATGCTAGACTCGATGAAAACACAAGAGTACAGAGCCTCCGTGAACGCCGACATAATAAAAGAAAAGGATAGGAACGCAAAATTATTAGCGAGAGCTGCCCAGTTGGAAAAGCAAATAAAAGTCTTGATAGACGATAGCGTAGGTCTTTTAAAAGCAAGGATGACCGAATTAGGCATCAATGCAACGTCACCCGGCGATCTATTGGCCAAAGCAAAAGAAATTGTTCTTAGACATAAGCAACTTCAGGCAAGATCAAGTAAACTGCAGTCTGCGGTCTGCACCATGGAGACTGAACAAAATAGGTTAGCTACTTTAAGACACCAGGAACTATTGGAAAAGTTTAATTTGCCACCACAGCAACAACCTGTAACCTGTCAATTTCTTATGAAAGAAATATTATCGTCTCATGCACATCGCAAAATGCTACAAACTCAAGTATGCTTTGTTCTTATTTTTATTATGCACTGACACGTAGGATAAAAGTTTGTATATTTATTTTTATAAAATATATTTTGTTTAGATGTATAAGTTGGAACAAGAAGTTGGGACAATGCAGCAGCAGCAGCAGCAACAACAACAACAACAACAACAACAACAACAACAACAACAGCAGCAGCAGCAGCAACAACAACAACAGCATCAGCATCAGCACCAACAACAATCGCAACAACAACAACAACAACATAAGAGTAGTAGTTCGCGCAAAAGTCGAGAGCGATCCCGATCTCAGGATTGGCCGGACGTTCCTGACGTTGGTAAAATTCAAGAGAAAAATCCAGAACTCCTCGCTCAAAAAATCCTAGAAACCGGACGACAGATTGAGGCTGGTCGATTACCCAACAGTCGAGCAACTACTGGAACAGTAACGACAAGTAGCTCGAGACCTCGATTGCCGCAAGCTACTTTAAGTTTCTCCAGTTCACAACCGTCCACGATACCGACGCAATCACAGTCCGTTGTTCGGGATCAGAATACTAATCGAGCTCCTATTCAAGAGCCTCCAAGGGTAGCAAACTTTGAGGACAGGCTGAAAAGCATAATTACGAGTGTACTGAACGAGGATCAGCAAAACAGGAGTAAGCACCAGATGCAGCAGCATATGCGTATGCACGGGGACGTTGACAGGAAGCGGCATATGTTGCACCTCAATGCACCAGATTACTCACAGGTAGGTTAAAATTGCTTACAATATCGTTGATTGCAGAATGTTGATCGCTTTGATGGCAACTTTAGTGTAGTCCAAATGCTACTTCTACTTATTTAATACTAAAATCTTTGACTCAATCCTAAAGATTACTTTGTAAATTAAAACTTCCAATCTATTTACTAAATCATTTTTGTGAATGTCTCTTCTTTGACTTATTTCCTTTGTGTTATACTGAAATATACATAAAAATTTTAATTGCTTGATCAACAAAGCATGTGAATGTATTAAAATTTTACAGAAGTGATGTGAAAATATTTTTTTTATTTGATTGTATTTACCTCGTGAGAATACGCTTGAGTTTGAAAGCCTTGAAGTGACTGTTGAAAAAGTCATGTATCGTTGTTAATCAAATTACAAAGTAAATCCTTGAATTCTCTTAAATATGGACTGCCACAAGTTAATACGATTTTCAAAGTAATGGTCAAGAATGCAGAATACTGTAAGCGAATGGTGTTTGCAGATGAAAGAAAAGAAAATGAGAATGCCATTTGCATACGCTTTCAGTACACCGCATGTTCAGTCTCTTTACCGTTACTTTGAAAGTCTTGTAAAAAGTCAAAGCTCACATTTGCTTCAAAGGTATCGCCTGCTAAGATGGCTCTCCGTCGACATCTCTCTCAGGAACGTCTAACCCCTCACTCGGAACAGCAGCAACACGTCACCGGCTCTAATTCGGAGGCAAAGCATCATCCGCATCCGTCCACCAATCACCATCCACAGCACAGGACAGAGCAAATGGCCAGCAGTGGAGCTGGGGGTCCGAGTGGACTCTTGGCAACGCGGACGATCGGTGATCTGGTGAACGGTGAGATCGAGCGGACTCTCGAGATTTCCAATCACGGTGGTTCGGGCATGGACATCAGGCCCGACAGTTTTTCACCCGTCAGTCGACCTGCTAGCGTGGAAGTTGAAAACACGGGATTGGCTACGCTCGCGCACGTGGCGAGCTACGCGCCTACGCCCTCGGCTTCCGCAAATTCCGCGTCATCAGCTGCCACGTCAAGATCATCGGTTCTGTATTCTCCTCAGCAAAATCAATCTCAGAGGTATTTTCCAAGTCTGGCTGAAAAATTGTTTGAAAATTATTTGAATATTTTACAGCAAACGACTTTCAACTGACGTATATGTTTTTTTTTTACAAGATACACGCCGGTCCAACTGCCGCGAGCCGACATTAAGCCTTACCACGAGTCGTACTTCAGTGACAATCCCTCGCCGTCTATCAGCCAGTCTCGGGCTACTACTCCATTGGAAGGCCTGGCAGCAAGGAGGTATTTAAATAAAAATTTTATCTGTTTGTTAGTGCTGTGACAAAAAATTCATATGTACTCAACAGGTATAATCCATACGGGTACGGCAGAGATGGTAGCAGTTCAAATTCAAGTAATAACAGCGCAAATGCTGTGGCCCCTCAAAGCCAACCGTCGATGTCAGTCAAGACCGAAGCTGTCGTTTCAACGGTCAGTACGAGCGGTGCTCCTTTGAGTCCACCTCTCGTTGACGAACCGCATCTCACGAATCCGCGGCAGGGACACGGTGATGACGGTAAGTGGATTCGAGTCGATGCGCCGCCGCTACATTTTGCGAATATTGCAAATCAGCAAGGTCTCTGCATGGCTGCTCCTGCCTATTTTTCTTTTAATTCTTAAGTTGATGGTGATATGCGTGTGTATGCACTGCGAGAATTTGAAGAGCTTTGCGCTTAAAAAGACTGTAGGTACTGTTTTTGTTACAGGTTGTAGTTTTAAAGTAATTTAGAAGACTTCTCTTTCGTTTTATTCTCTTGAAACGTGAATTTAAAATTTTTCAAACTTTTTTACTAATTTCAATCTGTTTATTCAAAACCTTCTTGGCTGTAGGTATTACAATATTTATATTAATTTATAATTAAACGGACTATATTAATATACANAAATTTTTAATATTATTACTATTATTATTATTATTATTTCTCGGGCACAACCGATTGCGCTTGCAATAATTCGCGTATAACGTGTATAACATTAGAAAAAAAAAATTTAATTTTAACGTTTATAACGAATAGAATATAAATAAAGGGATAGCTGGTCGATTCGACAATTCGCGAGAGCATCGTAATTATCCCACCGTCTTATATACAAGAAAATAAAGAAGAAAAAAAATCAAAGTCACATCGCAAAAGTGCGCTGCTAAAAGTTAAGGTGAAATTTCGTACATGAGAAATATTGTGATGAATAATTATATTAGTATATGATAAGTATAAGATTTTTTTGTAATGCCACTTCTGAATGATAAATGTACCATTGAGATTAGGGTTCAACACGCGTCAAGTAAACCTCGAAACATCTTTTTCACTGACTTGAAAGTCTTTTTTCAAAACGATTTATTGAAACTTGCAAAGATGCCCACTGATGCATCTCGTTGTAGTTTAGCTAATTGAAAACTTCCAAAGAGAAGTAAAATTTGCTGTTTTCGCAACGGCTAATAGCAATTATTGTTCTTATCAATTTAAGGAACAAACAAATGATTGTAAACCGACGATACAAGAACGAGCAAGCGATGATCATTTTTCAACTGGCGAGTAAGTGTTGAGATACATGAGGAAACTGAAAATGAAATGAAAAGATTTACCAATCATGGCATTCATAGTGTAAAACTTTGTATAGAAACAATCAGATTATTTATATCAAAGTACGCGCTCATACATACGTCGATAAATGAATACGTAGATATAGTACATACACTGCCGAACCTTCTATTTGTTTTTACAAATTTACACTTTTTGTTTTAAGATAATTTTAAAAGAACAACAAATAAGAAATTTTAACGCAATCTATTACTCTCGAATTCTCATCCCCATAATCATTACTCATATACAAAAGATCCGTTTTCTTCTATGGATGTAAAACTAACTCGACCGATTATCAGTGATTTTTTAAAATATAAACTGTGTCACTACGAAAGATCGATTTTCGGTCTATTTTTCAAGACGTCAATATTTTTGTCATTTGTTTTTTATTTTCATAAAAATGAAATAACGAATAATCACTATCACCTGTCAATCTATTGTTGCATGTTACTTTTGTCGTATGCTGTTTGTATTCACATATACTGTGTATCGTAGTCATTGATTCTTGCGTATTATGAGGTTTCTATTCATCACAAATAGTTTCACTTTTATGACTACTGCTACTTTTACATTTGCCTTTTTTGAAATTTGTATTAATTATTTTAAAGTGACACAAAGTGTCAGTTGGACTCAAAATTGTTTTTTAATTGTTGTAACACCGCGTCAAACCAAAACTCACAAAAAAAGTTGCTCGATACTTTCATAAAAATAAGCCAAAATTATATGAAGTTTTGGGCTGACTCGATACTCAGATTCTTGAAATGTTGCATGTTTGCATGCAAAGTAGTAAAGTAAAAGTTATCTTCTCAAAAGTCCAAGACAATTTGTGTTTGATCATATTTCTTTGAGTGTGATACTGAAAAGCATATGAAACGCAACGAAACTTTTTTTTTTTTTTTTTTTTTTTTCATAAAAATTTTTCATTTTACTCCTTCTTAAGCCGCATACACCCGCATATGCCGTATCTTTCGTAATGGCTTATTTTTATGAGAATATCGTTTTTATGTAGTCGAACTCTCATTCATTTTTTTTTTATTATTATTTTCTCATCAACCGAGAAATGTCAATTGAAAACGCTAATACTTTTTTGCAAAACATTTGTTGTTTCATTCGATGGTAGTTAATGCTTAGAAATGTTAGTGTGCATTAAAACGTACTTCAGTGTTGCATAATATCATTGTTCCATAAAACTGTTAACCTAATCTCTATACATTAACATGCATAAATGTCTACGCTCATGATTAAAAATTTGTCCTAACAACTCATTAACTTGTTTTGAAATAAACATTTTTTCATACTATCTACAAAAAAAAAAAAAAAAAAAAAAAAAATGAAAATCTTGTTATAAAATTTCCACATACTTATACTCGAAGTTTTCAATCGAACTTTCATGATCGTTGTACATGTCCATTATTACAATTAATGCGCGACGCGAGCGTGTCTAAGTCTGGAAGTATGCAACTTGCAGAAGTACACTGGCGGGACCGGATAAGCTCGGGCTTTGACAGACTCGTGGCGTTTGCCTCCACGGAGCTGGACAAGCGTCGTAGGTCTACCGATGACAGCGGCCTTGGCTCGGACAGTAGCGCCGTTCTGGGCCCCCCTCCGATCGTACCGTCGCCGGATGAGGCTCTCGGTCCACCACGAACACCGTCCCCGTCTTCGTCGTCCTCGTCATCTTCGGTGCCGCTCAAGTATCAGAGACAGCAGGCCGACCTTTACTTTAAGAAGAGGTTTCACAGAGACTGGAATCACCATCACCACCATCACCACCACAATCATCTTCAGTAGCTCCCTTTTGTTCCCTATAGCTCCGACCTGCCTTTTTGTACAAAAGTAATGTTTTTCTAAGAGTCTCGAGGGCCCACTGCGTATCGCCCGTCGTCGATGTTCTCTATTTAAGTTGGTCACAACTTTCTCGTGGATGCAGTCAGATTTGCTTCAAAGAAGATGCTTTTTGACGCTTGAGTTGTTGTTGATGATGATTATTATTATTACTTTTTTTTTTCTTTTGTTACTTTTTTATGTTGGTAACCAAAAGTTTATTTTTTTGGTTAAATTAATTAGCATGATTTTCAATTGATTTTATTGTACAAAAATTTCGTTTATTTATTTATTTTTTTTTTTTTACGTTGAATACAACATTTTCTTCATTTCTAAAGTTTAATGCTAGGATTGTGTGTTTGAGCAAAAAGCGTCCACTTCAAAGTACTGTCAACTGCCGACTTACAGTTTTTTTTATTTTTTATTTTTTTTTTTTACTCTTTTTCCTTATATTTAACTGTAGTTGTTTAGTCGTTGTATAGATATAAAAAATTGTTGTTTTCGTTTTTGCGTGAGATGAGAATGTTCGGATTATTAATGATTCAGATGTTATATATTTGCTCGAGTTAAATTTTTAATATTATTACTATTATTATTATTATTATTTCTCGGGCACAACCGATTGCGCTTGCAATAATTCGCGTATAACGTGTATAACATTAGAAAAAAAAAATTTAATTTTAACGTTTATAACGAATAGAATATAAATAAAGGGATAGCTGGTCGATTCGACAATTCGCGAGAGCATCGTAATTATCCCACCGTCTTATATACAAGAAAATAAAGAAGAAAAAAAATCAAAGTCACATCGCAAAAGTGCGCTGCTAAAAGTTAAGGTGAAATTTCGTACATGAGAAATATTGTGATGAATAATTATATTAGTATATGATAAGTATAAGATTTTTTTGTAATGCCACTTCTGAATGATAAATGTACCATTGAGATTAGGGTTCAACACGCGTCAAGTAAACCTCGAAACATCTTTTTCACTGACTTGAAAGTCTTTTTTCAAAACGATTTATTGAAACTTGCAAAGATGCCCACTGATGCATCTCGTTGTAGTTTAGCTAATTGAAAACTTCCAAAGAGAAGTAAAATTTGCTGTTTTCGCAACGGCTAATAGCAATTATTGTTCTTATCAATTTAAGGAACAAACAAATGATTGTAAACCGACGATACAAGAACGAGCAAGCGATGATCATTTTTCAACTGGCGAGTAAGTGTTGAGATACATGAGGAAACTGAAAATGAAATGAAAAGATTTACCAATCATGGCATTCATAGTGTAAAACTTTGTATAGAAACAATCAGATTATTTATATCAAAGTACGCGCTCATACATACGTCGATAAATGAATACGTAGATATAGTACATACACTGCCGAACCTTCTATTTGATTATTATTATTATTATTAAAACTATTATTATTATTTATTGTTTTTATTGGAATATTTTAATACTAAGATTTTTGTAACAAGCAACATCTCTTTTATTTTTGTCATCCTGTTTATAGCATTCCTTGTACTCGCAATCCTTAACAACAATCTAATCCCAAGTAAAATTTTCTCTTATGGAATCCCTTAGAGAATTCTGTGCTAACTGCAACAAGTTCAGATAAAAAAAAAAAAAAAAGAAAAATGTACCAAATGAACAGGAAAGAGTAAAAAAATTGTTTTTGTGAAACGATGGCGTGACATTAAATGCAATACCTTTCAGAACTTGATGAGTAGTTTATTCTTGTTTTAACAGTATTTTTTGATAACTATTTTTCTTTCTCTTTCAACCCAACTTTCTTCTAAGTTTTGGATACAGGCACCAGCATCGTCAATAGATACATCAAGTTGAAAATATTTTATTTCCTGAACCCTATGCCATCCGTACTTTATGATAAATATTACGAATGAGTAAGTATTGGGGACTACGTAGAAATATAGAGCTTATGGTGATAATCTGATATTCCTCCGATGAATCGTCGATTTAACATATATAATATATTTAACGTGCTTGTGCCCAGAAAGTATACTTACCTTGTTGGGTGCCGTCATTCTGTATAGCCGGACAAAAGTACACACTTTCTTTTCACAGGCATGAAAAATATTACTTTTTGTTTTCGCAGCAGGCGCCTGATGAGCTTTACTTTTCACATTAAAATAGATATTTTATGTATGTATTTGAAAATATCTGAAAAATATGAGGGCTTTGCACAGCCGTACAACCTACACGTTACATGAGAGGTGAAAATTTTCAAATTTAAATAATACACATACATGTGACAGGCACTCCCAAAGCGGGATGTGTGGCAACTTTTTTTTGTATACAGTGTAGATAAGATTTTATAATCCGTCCAACGTAATTTTCTATCCGCGTGTACAGATAAAACGACATTTTTACTGCGTCCGGGACCGGAACGATAAGAAATTTTTGAAAACCTTTTTTCGTGGGTATACCTACAAATATGAACTTTACCTTTAGTAAATCTTTCAGAAAAACTCTTGCTTCATCGGAACACATATATATACTACATCATATTCCATGTTGTTGACTTTTCAACCCAACTTTTTTTTTCTCTTTATTTTGTATATATATATATCATAGTGGCACCAGCATCGTCGGTTGCAATTTTTTTTTTTTTCCCGCGTAAATGGAGATTTTCGAGCGTATAAGAATGAACCGTAGTGGCGCGAACTGCCGCAGGTGTCTTTCACTTTTCGTACCATCAAGATGAAATGCGCCGTCCTGACGCTCTTGCTCTTGTTCTACGGCTTCGTGCGGTGCACCGAGGAGGACACGCAAGTCGTTCTTTTGGAATGGAATCACGATTCTCGGGTATATCAATACAGGGAAAAAAAAAAAAAAAAACTCGTTTGAAAATCAATTTTCGTTAATCGCAACGTCGACGCAGGTACCGTTGACCTTCACGGCCTTTGGTAAAAAAATCGAGCTGGTGCTGTCGAGGAACGACAACTTGCTGTCCCCCGGCTTCGAAATCTGGAAGCGCGAGGCAGGCGACGCTCTGAAACGACTCGACGAGCCGCCGACGAGTTCCTCCACGTGCCACTACATCCACGAGGACGAGCTGACGAGCGCGGCCATCACTTTTTGCAATGGATCCGTGGTTGGTACACCGGCGTTGGGGAAAAAAAAAAAAAAAAAAAAAAAAAACCACATCCAAATCATGATTCGTAGCACGGGTTCGTCTTTCTCGAGAGCGACAGTCTCGAAATAACACCCCTGGCGTACTCCTGGGACTCGAGGCGCAAGGCGAGATCGGCACTGCCCGCGACCGGCAAGCCCCACGTCGTACGGAGGCGGCGAATTCCTCGCTTCGAGCTCGTGGACAAACGAAACGCCGAGGAATCCCCACCACCGCTGGCAAACGACACCACCGCACCCCTGACCATAGAATTGGGTAAGGCATCATCCGCACATGGGCGTAGTAAAAAAAAAATATATATATATAAATGCGCTCTCGCGAGTTTCTAGCGGTGTTTTTCGACGCGGCCGCCTACCGCAGCTTCAAGCCGTACTTCGACAAGGGCGCCGACGAGCCATCGGCGAGCGAGTCGCGCATGCTGGACATGCTCCTCGCGTACGTGAACAACATCCAGGCGCTGTACTACCACCCGAGCCTGGGCGAGCGGGTGAGGATAGTCCTCGTGCGGCTGGAGCTGATGGAACGCCAGCCGGAGAGACTCGCGAACCTGGACGGCGAGCGCTCCCGGCTCCTGGACGAGTTCTGCGCGTACAGCGCGTCCATCAATCCACCGGAGGACGCGGATCCCCGACACTGGGACGTGGGCCTGTACGTCTCGGGCCTGGACTTTTACGCCATCGAGGAGGACGGCCAGAACAATCCCGTGACCATGGGCCTGGCACCGGTTGGCGGTGTCTGCTGGAACGAGTACGCCTGCGTCATCGCCGAGTTCGGGGTGACCAATCGGCTCGGGAAACCCTACCCCTCGGGGGGCTTCACCTCCGTCTACATCGCCGCCCACGAGATCGCCCACAAGTGCGTCAACCCGCTTACACGTCTCACACACACATGTCTCTATAATTGAAAAAGTCTTGATCGATCGTATACGTTCAGTCTGGGCATGCATCACGATTCGGCGGGCAACGGGTGTCCCAAGGACGGTTACATCATGTCGCCTTCCCGAGGGCTCAAGGGCGAGACCCAGTGGTCGGCGTGCAGTCAAAAGGTCGTCTCCGAGTTGGCCACGAGCAAGCCGTGTCTGCTCGACCAACCCGCGGCCGAGTTGTTGGACCACAGCGGGAGGTACCTCGAGGTGCCGGGTCGCAGGTGGACGGCCAAGCGCCAGTGCGAGATTTTGCTGAAGAATCCGGACGCTTACGCGGACACGGGGGATCCGGCGAGCAACAGTTGCCAGGCGCTCAAGTGCAAGAGCCCCGACAGGACGGGCTACTACTTGGCCGGGCCGGGGCTGGACGGGACGCCCTGCGGCGACGGCAAGGAGTGCCGGGCGGGTGACTGCCTGGCTATTGACGATAGGTGATTAAACAGCCCACCCGATCAAAAAGACGCGTCAATCAAAGCTTGCACGTTGTTTTCGTTCCCCTCCTATGGCAGGGAAACACCGCCGAGGCTAGTGAGCGGGGGTGGCAACGGCAGCTCGGGGTGGAGCGAGTGGCGGGAGGAGGGCGAGTGCCGGAGCGGCTGCTTGCGGGGTTCCCTGGGCCGGTTGGAGCGTCGACGCGTCTGCCAGGGTGAGGATCCGTGTCCGGGTGTCGGGGTCGACGTGGTGCTGTGCAAGGACAGCAAGGTGTGCCGTAAGCGCCTCGAGGTCGACGAGTACGCGGGGGAGCGGTGCCACGAGTTTGCCCGACAGCTCGTGGAGATAGACGGCAACGCGCCTGGGTTGCAGGCGAAGCACGAGGCCGACCGGCCCTGGGTCGCTTGTGCCGTGTTCTGCAAGCGCAAGGACGCTGCCTCGTACTACACGCCGAAGCTCGAGCTGAGCGACATCGGGCTGGACCCGTATCTGCCCGACGGTACCTGGTGCCATAGGGACCCCAACCACGGGGACAACTACTTTTGCAGGAGCCACCAGTGCTTGCCCGAAAATTTCAGGTTGGACATAAATGCTAATTATATAATACATATACATGCGCACAATATACGGGCGTTTTTCCTGGCCGATAATTTCTTTGTTGTCTGGAATACTCATAACGGTTGTTCGCAGCGCTGCTCTCCACACGATTTTATGCGCATCATTTGCTTTAAACACACGAGTACGGTGGCTCTTTGTCACGAACATTCCACGTATGCAATTACAATCTTCGTGCAGTTTTTTTTGTTTTCTCTTTGCCCCCGGGATGATAATTAAAATGGCACGTACTTTTAAAACAATGCCAATGGCCCCGATCGTAAGGATCGGTAATTAACCCGCACGCGCATCTCGATCGCGTGGTTTTTTGTTGTATTATATTCGATCGATCGTTACAGCAAGTATATATTCTCGGTATGTATACTTTGTTCCTTGGCTTCGGGGAAAAAAGACGCGCGTGAGTAAGGGCCGGGGCAGGAGGAACACAATAGCTTTGTGAAGAGCTGCGCCAAATAAGAACTGCACGCGGTATAACGGTCGACCGGTCGGTGAGATACGGTCGCGCGCCGCGCTGGCTGCTTTATACGATAAAAAAAAAAAAAAAAAGAGCAAGAGCATACAACGTATATATGCTTACCTCCCGCTTTATTGCTTCTGATGCTGACTCAACTTGGCGAGCGCGAAAAAAAGAAAAGAGGGGCCGATGTACACTCGCGCGTGTATATCCGCCTTGGACGCCCACGCGCGCGCATTGTCGTTGGCCGTTTTTTTTTTTTTTTTTTTCCTTGATTTTCCTCTCGATGTGTGATGCAGATTCGGCAAAGAGCTGCAGCCGGACGACAACGCGGGTCCAATGAACGCGGCACCCCTCGGCTGGCGGCCGTCCGCGGAACTCGTAAGTTACCTCAGCCTGGACGGCAGCGGCAAGCCGTTACTCACGAGGCTGCTCCCGGACGCGCGGCTGCTGCCCACCGACGGGGATCCCTGGCTCGACTCGCACGACTACGTTGAACTGGACGAGCTGGCCGTTAGACGCTCCAGGATCCGAACGCCGGCTTCCACGTGAATCATGACGAGCGGACTTTTCGCTTCATTTTTTGTTTTTTTCAGCGGAGGAGACATTTCAAAGGCAATTGAAATTCATACGCGGATTTATATTCGTTAGCTGGAACCTTTTGTTTATTACGGTGCCGCGGGTGGATTTTTGCAGAGCACAATATATAGATGGTCACTTTCCGTTTAGTATACGTTATGTGTATGATCAAAAATTTTCTTTACAATCAATTACGAAGTATAGTTGTACAACAAGTGGAAGAAAGGAAGAAGCCAAATTATTATTTTTGTTTTTAAACTGCAATAACAGCTCAATATGAAAAATTGTAACTGTACGTAAAAAATTCATTTTTTCAATGTAGCTACGTTATTTTTACTCTTTCTTTTTACCAATAAAATTCATCCACTCGCAACATTTGGAGTTATTTTAGTGTGTGATATACATGCGGTTTTCTTTATGATTTCTCACAACAAAGGCTTTCACACTTCCAGTTAGTATCATCATTATTATTATGTTTAAATTAATGATGCTGCTTATTTCAATTTATGGACATGCCTTCCAAAAACAATGTACTTTCGAAAATCACAGCATGTATTTTGATGAATTACCCTTTTCACGAAATATCTGTGGTTAAAAAAAAAAAAAAAAACTTTCAATTTAAATAATTTTTCTTTAAATAAAGTAATTATACTTTTTCTATTACTAGACATTTAGATTTACAGATCACAGAGTCAGTATTAATTTTATCATCGTAGCGTTATCAATTTTTTTCGTATTTAATTAATCTGCTTGACAATTGCAAATACTTAAATGCACTACAGGACTTTTTGTCAACAAATCACGAGCTAACGATGTATGTAACGCCTCTCATTGAAAAATACCTATTCGGATTGTAAAGGTCTTGAGTATCGTGCTACTATTTTCATTTTTAAAAATTTAAACTGTACTTTACGAAAATGAAAAAATAAAACAACTGCTCCTCTTTTCACTACTGAATTTTGAAAAAAAAAAAAAAAAAAAAAATCCTACATTAGCATTTGCACCGAGTAACGCGATTTCGACAAACCAGACGTCCATCAGCTACATATAGGTATACCTGGCTGACAACCTGAAGAAAAAGAAAAAAAAACCAAAATAACAAGACAATCACCAAACTACTGAAAAAAAAAAAAATTAAGTTGCACCTAATAACAGCGGTCCAACGCCCAACTATGAGGTAATCTGTTGTAACCAATGGATTTTTATTTAAGTAACTATAAATTAATTTTCGGGGTATAAAACACAAAAAATTGGTTTTATGCATAAAAAAATTACTCTGCAATACGGTTCAAGTATTTCTGATGCACTGTTCGCAGAAAGCATTGGAAAAAAATTTCAATATTGTGTCAATAAAAATACTACGTGTGGAGTATATTAGATGACTGGAAAATATAAATGTGACAATTACAGCTCAAGCCAATAAGTACGCCTGAAGAATACTAAATGGAAGAAAAAAACCAAGCTGTAAGGTGTATACAGCTTATAAAGTGAATTTAGGAATTTTATGTAAGCAACGTGTAGTTTTTGACTCTGCTTTCGAAAATTGGAGAGATTTTCGATGACGAGGATAATATATTTTTTTTACTATCATCATAATAAACAAAAACAAAATTGTCGCCTAGAAGTGGAGAGAAAAGTTCGCGAGTTGAATAAGTTTTATTTTTGTTTGAAAAATAGATTTTTTACAAAAAAAAGACTTAAGAGCTGATATTGGTTATAAATGACGAAAATATCTTAAAATTGCTATGAAACAGTTTTTAGCCAAAATTTGAGCGATAAACCAAGATGAGTAGTAAAACGAAAGCAAATATCTTGAAAACTTAAACTGCTGTTAACCTTCAATAAATTTATGTTTGATTTAAAAAATGTATGGGATCACGTATCGTAATCGCCAAAAATTCGTATTTTCAAACATTTTACTTTTTCTAAGTTTTAAAAATTAATTTATCACAATTTCAAGATTTTTTTTATTTTTGTGGCAAAATGTCTCGTTCATTGATTATGAAAAAAATGTATTGCGCACTTGGACGTCAAGTCTAAAAAAATGTGTTGAATGATTTTTTAGCATATGCCTTCCCGAATGTTCAGTGGGTATCAGCCGCCGTCTTTTTCTTGTACACACGTATTATATGTATATATGTGCGTATTCTCGCGCGTGAGACAGGTCGGTGACGTCATCGTTCAGTTTGGGATTTGGGGACGTAAAATAAAAAACGGCGTATGTAGAATGTGAAATAATTTAATGAATTTGTTTTTTGTTCATTAGAAAATACAGTTGAACAGTTTTTCAGCAGAAAAATTAAAAATCACTATTGACATATGTATTACACACATGATTTGTTGAACCAATTACTTAATTTTTTTTGTCCTTGGTTACGTATTGCAAACACTTTTTAATTGATATTACACTGAAACTCTTCAGTGAAAAAGGTCATTGACTTTTTAAAAAGTTAGAAAAAAGAAATGGATATGATTTTTCTAGTCAGTCTATACTAAGAAGTTAAATTTGACATTTTACATGTATATATATATGAAATATGGAAAAAAAATCCCATGACTAGTATAAAATAAAATTGATCATGACCTTTTTCACTTTGTAGTTGTGCAATAGACAGTAAATTTTTAGTAATTACATTTTTCACACATCACAAATTTACCACTCACTTAACATCAGTGATTACACACAGCACTTGTATGCTCAGAGCAACTTGCTGCACTTGTCTATACATATAGTTATGAGCACACGTTCCACTCGGCATGCATACGCTTGCACTTTTTTTCTTTACATTGCAAACAGTTTACTGTTCTAAATTTATATTATTTGCCTAACTTAGCACATCAAAATAGTTCAGCAGTCACTCTTTTTACAATTAACGCTGTCAAATTCAAGCTTTCACTTAAAAATTAATAGTAATAATAATAATAATAATAATAATAATAATATCCAAATCGTATGAGGGATCGAAGAATATACGTTCTGTACATAACAAAGTGAGCGGTCGAATCGTCCTATAAAAAAAAAAAAGTACAGAAAAGGCTTTTTTTCATGAAAAAGTATTCTCTCCAGGCCGGTAAAGCCAAGAGAAAAACCATTAAAACTAGCTAAACTAACAAGAGTGAATTTTTACACGCTGGCGAGTCTTTGTTGCGACTGCTGCAACAAGTCTAGGCGACAACGGCGACAGTCGTCACACAACAAACACCGAGGACGAACGAGCCTGCCTCTGTAGGCAATCATTATGTCCTTGTCTCTTGTTTGGTCTCTTCGCTCGCGCGTCCCTCTCAATTTGGCAGCGTGTCATATAGTATGTCCTTGGCACTCTGGGACAGCGACTCTGGAAACTTTATGTCAAACGAGACAAGCAGGTCACCCTTCCGCGACGGTTCTTTGGGATGTGGCACCCCGTGGCCTTGAATCCTTTTCACGGTGTTGGGCTTGACGATTTCTCTCGTCAAGTTGAGCGGGATCTTGTCGCCCGTGAGAGTAGGCACCTCGATCACGGTACCACAGAGCGCCTGCTTCAGTGAGATCTTACACGAGTACCTGATGTCACATCCTTCTCTCCTGAACAAAGGATGAGGCTTGTCGCGGATGATGAAGACGATGTCGGCGGGCACCTTGCCTCGGCCCTGGTCGCCCTCCTTTTGGAAGGTAATCTTCGTTCCAGCCTTCCAGCCAGGCTTGACGTTTATTGTGAGCACCTTGTCCTCCTTTTTTGTCGAGCCATCGGGCTGCATGACCCTTCTCGAGATTTTCATTTTTTTGGTGCAGCCCCGCAATATGTCCTCTAGACTGACGTACAGATCGTGCTCGATTGCGGGATCTTGGGCTCGGTCCTTGCTCGCGACGCGGCCTGTTGGTCCGGCAAAGTTGAATGAATGCGAGCGGAAGGCACCACCGGGGCCTCCGGGACCACCCTGCCTCATACCACTCATGCCAAGGCCGAAGGGATCGTCGGTCTCCATGTCGTCGTCCTGGAAGCCGAACACGCGGTTGCCGCCTCCGGGACCGAACTCGAAGAAGCCCTGGAAGGGCGAGGCAGTGCCGAAGAACTGGGCAAAGGTGGCTCGAGGATCGCCGTGGAAGGTGTAGGTGGTACCACCGCCAACGCCACCGCCACCACCGCTACCCGCTCCGGCGCCTCCCTTCAGTCCCTCCTCGCCAAACTTGTCGTAAACCTCGCGCTTCTTCGCGTCCGACAGGACCTCGTAGGCCTCGGCGATTTCCTTGAACTTCTCCTCGGCTCCCGCGGCTCTATTCTTATCCGGATGGTATTTGAGGGCCAGTTTACGGTAGGCCTTTTTAATCTCGTCGTCGTTGGCGCCCTTGGCTATGCCTAGAATCTTGTAGTAATCCTTTCCCATGTTTCTTCTAGACTCCTGAAACAGAAAAACCAAACACCGATTCCGTTAGTAACTCATTCATAGCAATTTTCATTTGTGAATCTCATTGATATGCGACAGCAGCCTCGCAAGTGTGCGGCATTAGCATGATTATCGAACATCCATATACTGTGGGTTTTGAAAAATCGTCGTCGTTTGCCAGCTGCGGCCTTTTTTACGCAACGACAAAAACAAAGCATAAATCCACGGCGGCGACCAAGAGGCGTGGACGAAAACAGACGCATTCGCGCAATTGGTTTAATCGCTCGACTGCCAGAGCTTGCAGTTGAACGGCAAAGGAATTATTAGTAGATTCAATTCTTTTGTTGACGAAAGTGCAGCAGCGGCAGCGACGAGAGCCGGAAACAGAGCGCGGGTTTGGATGACGCGCGTCCAATGCACACACATGCGTTCGCGCTCCCCCCCCGAGCTATTAATCACTGCCCGATCGGGGAGACGTAAAACGCGATGGAATCTGCGACACGCGCCTCACAACAAAAACACGTTAGGCAGGTACTATTGGCCGTACGGTAGTTGTTCGCACGGACGAGTCATCGACAGCTTTTCGCCCGGATTTTTACGGTTCGAAGGTCTCTCTCGAAGTCGTCGCTCGGTTGAGAAATAAAATAAAGAGAGAGATTGGAACGCGGACGAAGAAAGGATACGATGCATCGGCCCGCTTATAACGTATACATATATGTACAAGTATACGTGAAGGAAAGACGTGACCTCGGATGTGTCCAACCGAAGACGCCCCTTTTAAGTTTATAAAGTTATTGCGCGCTCGTCATTCGGTAGCAGCACAATTGCCACTGTTGTATCGTATACACATGTCAGCCTTGAACTTTGCGCTTTCTTAAAGGACTTTTTTTTTTTTTTTTTTTTTCCAACCAACTTGGTGGTGTCGTGTGCTTATCGACTACTTAATGAATTGGACAACCTGGTTTCTTATAATAATCGTTTAACCAGAGAGTTTATTCGGTGTTTCGCCAAATTAGTACATACGGTTGAAGCGCGTTTAAATTGTTATTCGGACTCCGAAATGAGCGTTTACAGGTAGAAAATTAATTTTTTTTCTGCTATTCATTTTAATCGCTCAACGGTATGGATATAGTGGGTACGGTGAGATTGTATCTTAATGAAAGATCCAAAGCGAACTTATTTTCATCCGGGTTCTATATATAGCGCTATACGGGCTAACGTATCTCCGAAATCGCGTTGGCATGTATGTATATTTAAATGAAAAAAAAAAGAGAGAAGAAGAAATCGCGACTACCCGAAACAGCGTGAGTAATATTGAAATTTCGAGTTTCCTCGGTGCGATTTATAAATCAGAAAAAAAAAAAAAAAACAAATATAAAAAGAAAAAAGATACTATACGTTTTCGACGGCTTCGCTCTTGCAGTACGATATTTTTGTTTCATCGATTCATGAAACACAAACGCGGGCTATTATTAGTCAAACGTGTCAGAGTAATCGATCGGAATTGTTACCAATTATATACATCAGAGCTATTTTAATTTAAAAACCAAACGAGAGTTCCTGCTCGATCAGCAAAGGACGATTCATTCAAAGTTTGCGTTGGATTGTTACACCATGAACAATTTCTTACTTTAGGCAAAAATGATTGTATCTAAGGTTTCCGGGAACTTGATTAGAGTCAAAACGTACACGTATAACAGGTGCCTATCACGTAAGTTGAGGAAAAAAAGACAAGAATACAAGAAAAAAAAAAAAAAAAACAGCGAAGCAAAGCGCGAACAAAATCAAGGACGAGAGAGGCAGCTGGGGGCACAGGTTCCAGCCGACTTTGGCAAGCAGAAGGCGAAAGAAACAAGTAGGTATCGGAGCGCGAGGCGCAAACTACGTGAAACAACCAACGTACGCGAACTTTCTATATAACGTATAATCATAGATATCTCGCTCGGGTACCAACACAAACTGACATTTGCCAATTTTTTTTTCTCGCTCGCTCGCGTGCATTATTACCTACACACACATTTCGCAGATATCGAAAAACGAGATACCGAGAGAGACGGCGAGTGATGCTGTGCCCCGCTGCCATGCTGCTCGCATCTCGTCCACTTTGGTGGCTAGAGACACCCACGCGCCCCTTATTTTCCCCGCTATTTCGGGAAATGATGATACATCCAAGAGTCAGCCGCGAAATGGGAAGAGAAGTCGACGACGACGATGTCGATTCGCCCCTATATCTGCGGGAGACAAGCGAGCGCCGAGTGCAACACGACGGCGATGAGGCTACAAATTTCATGTATACCCGACGAAAGAAGGACAATCAAGAAACGTTTCCGAGCCATCTGCTGCTGCGTCGAAATTAAAGATCTGCTGTACGTGACATACGCGAAACGATATGGTTGACGTCGTCGATTCTCTGCTACATACATTTCGCTCTATTTTCATCAATACTGCTACGATATGATAAATACGCACGCGCGATATGGCACTAAAAAAAAATTATTACAATGACATCACACTCGCAACGAAGATCCGAATATAAACAATACTAAAATGTCCGTGTCACACTTATGGCTTTTCCGAGCAACGCAATTCGAGTCGAAAAAATTGTTTTTCGCTGTAACACTTACTTTGTTTGATGATTGTTTTTATGAAACAACGTCTCTCGATGAATCAACTCACTTATATCGGAGTAAACAAAACTTAACAAAAATATATAAGAAAACTCCTCGTAGAGGATATTCGTAGATAAAAATTACGTCTTCACTCAATCACTTCTTCTGTTGAACTAAGCGGCCACAGAGGTCGCACACGCAATATATACAAACTGTCGCTCGCGCACTTTCCGGAAGCTTCGAGAAGTGACTCGAATACAGCCTCGCTCGTTCGATAACGCTTTCTAATCGAAATTGCGCACCTTGCGTGACGTCACGTTACTTTTACCCGATCGGATAACCAATTACTTAGCAAAAAATCTTTCGATTGGAAAAGTTAATTTTACCGTGAAATTGTTTAGATATCCGTCCAATAATCCATACGGTTTTTTTTTGCGGTTAAAATGGCATTTGGTACGAAGCTCCAACACTATGAAGTTGGTCGCTTTTTCGTGTCTCTTCGACAAATGGACTGACTGCTTACGTCAGGTGATCTTTTATATACACACCCCCGATGACCGCGGGAAAAACGACTGAATCTGAAGATAAAAATAATCGCGTGCATGTAACATGCGATATTTAATCGCAAGTATACTTTTAATAAAAAATTATGATGTTTATCGGTGCAAATGGTAGAAGAGCTGATTTCGTTTCTTATTATTTAATTGATTCTTTGATTCACTCTGATCTAATCTTTTTTCTTAAATTCTATTGGTTTGTTATTGATCAAGACTGTGCATCGGGTGGTAATAAAAACACCTGCGTTTATCGACACAACCCCAGCGGAAATTTGAAAACGTAACAAAATGTTAAAATAAAATGAACATGTGTGACAATATGCCGTAACCCGCAAGAAAATGTAAGGAACTGTAATAGTAGTCTCATGGATTTCGGACGTTTCTTACACTTTATTATGATGTGTTACGTTTTTTTACATTTTCTTACGTTTTAATATGATTTACCACATGCTGTTACACTTATACTTTTTCATAATAGTTACTCAAGTTTTTTTCATTTAAGGCAAATTTTATTCGAAAATGTAAGGAAATGTGTCTAAAAGTTATCAATGATAATAAAATATAAAAAAGTATAATAAACTGCAAAAAACTGTAAGCTGTTATAAAACATTACAGATGACAACACTTCCTTACAGTTTATTAGAGTTTACTACAGTTGCTTTTTCACGAGATTCAAGTGTCTTTTTAGAATTATAATAAAATGTAACGAATCGTAAGACAATGTGTTGGGTTGTAGTTGACTATAATCAAACGTAACAAACCGTAACAAACTGTAACTGTGGTCCGAAATCCAACCAAACTGTACATTACATCACAGAAAGTTATGGTTTGCTACGTTTTTTCACACTAACTTTTTCCGTGTGGGAAACAAATGATTTTTATAGAAAAAATAATAAAGTTTTGTAGACGTTTCGGTTGCGTAAAAATGCACACATTCAGTTCTCAAAAAATTTGGGCGTTAAAAAAAAATAGGGATGGTAGACAACTTGCGGTTGGAAAAAAAAACGAAAATATTTTTATAAACTTAATAAAAATAAGCATATATTTATTAATATACTCACAATAATAAGCAGTAAGACTATTTACAAATTTATACTGTTTTTCAAATTCCTGCTACAACTTGACCAATATGAATTTTTAATTTACAATGTAAAAAATAAATATTCCATTTTTTGGACACAGTACGTAAAAAAATTCCTTACTAGATAGTATCATTTGATAAAAAACTATTTTTCTTCAATGTGACATTATTCAATAGTGTATTCAAAATTCCACAAGAATATGAATGTAAAACAACAATCGGTCCTGTATGGAAAACGCTATAGAGTTTCTCATTTCAGCCTAAGAAAAAATGCATTTTTACTCTCTTTCGAAGACGGCGGTATATACTTATCGTAAAAATTTTTTAAAAAACTTTCTATTTGGAATCCAAATTTCGAGTACAAAGTCATGGCTGGATTCGTTACAGATACATGCAAAGTGATGTCTTTGTTCCAAACGGTTTGAGTGAGATGATACAACATAAAAGTTCCGATTTTGGCTCTTTGCCACTCGGGTCGTACAAGTAAAAAGGATATGTATGCTTCGTTAAAACTAACATCAGGTACCATGACAGCAAATCCCACAACTAATTTTTTGTACAAAGCAACACACGTCGTATGAGGATGTTGCAAACATTCTGTTACTGCAATAATATTTTTATTAGTAGAAACAATTTTTATTCACAATCAAGACTTTTCCTGTAAAATACTTGATTATACTCACAATCGACTCCAGGCCAAAAAAATTGAGAGCAAAGACTATTCATGGCAGGTATATGCTGAGGTCTAACGTATGAAAAATCTACAGTTGCCATAGGCTGGGGTTTCCATCCAAGTTTCTTGTGATTCACTTTTGCTAATAGCTCATCCATTACTTTCAACCATAGGGCGGGACATGATGGATACCTCCAAATAAGAGGATCCAGTTTTCGATCTACAGCTGGAATATAAATCGGTGTCAACTCACAATGTCCTTGCAGCCGTTGTTCGAATAAAACTCTAAAATCTTCTGGCATAAATTTATCCAAAATATTCGTTATTTTTTTGGATTTCAAGTTATCTTCTTTTTTCCGAAACTTGTCAAGGTCAAATACTGGTAAGCCCAACTGCCTTTTTTCTTTTCTAACTTTTAATTTTCTGTACAACCTATGGACAGTAACTGGAGCAGTATTTAGTAGATGTTTGTGTTCTTCAAGTTTTTGAAATAAATATTCTTCTTGACGTTCCGTCATTAGGGGTTTGATACATTCTGCAAACCATAAAATTTTTATTTAATTAATTGGAAAAAGTGTTACAATGAAACTTAGAAAAATTAAATATTACCTTTGTTAATTTTAACGGGTAAATTATTCAATATAGATGTTTTACATTTGGATTGAGTAAATAAAGAAGGACGTGGTTCTGGAAAATCATTACTCTTACTACTTTCTACATTATCTCTGTCAGATTCATGAAATTCCTCAGTGTCACACTCCATTTTTAGATTTTTTTCATTTTCAGTGGTTTCAAATAGAAACTCATCAAAAATATCAACATTCTCATCTTGCTGGCCCATTATGTATTGAAAACAATCTGAATCATATATTTCAGACAGTTCATTTACATCCAAAAAGGGCAAACCATCTTCCACAGTATTTTCAATAAAGTCAAAAGCAAAATCATCATTGACGTTGTTTACATCTACTTCCATATCTGAAAAATTTTTTAAATCGTAGTAATAAAAAAAAAATACCTCGAAAAATCAGTTTTTTTAGAATTAATCATTACCTCGAAAATCTTCGCTTGAAATACTGCTTGGAACTCCGCTTGTAGATTCTTGTTCGTAATTTGGATTTGTTGAACATTTCTTTCCTTCGAATTCAGACTTTACTATCTCATTACTATTTACAAAACAACTATCTGACTTTTCTTTAGACTTGAGGACGGAAGAACTGCCATCAAATTTTTTTCCCTGTTTCCTACATTCTGTAACTAAAATAAAGAAAACGGTGTAAAAAAACATAGCTTGTCACATAGTAACGCAGCAGTTAATCAAGATTGATGAATCACAGTAATTAAAAATGACTTCGGGAATATCCATGGGGATCAACTTCCACCAGCCTTGATCCCCAAGTTCTTCCGTTCCAGATTTGAAAAACTCATCTTTGAACGCAGACAATGTACCAGATATCGTGCCTCTCCAATTTTTTTTGGGCTTCCTAAAAATAATCCAAGCAAATCACAATGCCGCTCGCATACAAATCGATGAACATGTACAACAAACATGACGATAAACAAAAACCATTCTTACACAGATTGTGTAAAAAGTATGTCCCATTTGGTATGAATGAAGTCGCAGATGTGACTGCGCCAATGAAAGTAGCCCTGCCTGCCGTAGCCGTACGACTTTTCTCGGAGATTGTACAGGGCCAAGACGATGGTCAGAAACCAGGACAATTTTTGGCGGATGAACACCTCCTCGTTGCTGTCCGAGCATTCTATGCAGTACAAGTCGTAGAAAACGTCACCCAACAAATTACTGGGCAACGCACCGCGTCTCAAACAAGCCACGTGCACCAATTTCTGGCACTGGTCGTCGCACCGGACGGCTGGATTTTCGTAAGGATCGATCTCCTTGTTGCACCTTTTGCAACATTCCGGTTCCTCGGGTTCGGATTTCATGTTCAACTGCGACAAAAATCTTCGATAACAAGTATTTTATAAATCAAGCTGTGCGACCGAGGCATTTAAAGGTTAAGCGACAAGCGCGGCTTGTAAACAACAGACACGTGGAATTGGCTCGGGGGGGGGGGGTCAAAGCGTCAAAGGGAGCTGTCAAGTGCCGGCGGGGGAGGGGAGACGCAAAACGTGCGTGTATCGGTGCGCGGCGCGAGAGCCGATGCATTTAAATTTCATTGAAAAAGAAGCATTTGTTCACATCATCAAATTAAGCTGCAAATATATCGTTGCGAGAGAAATGTAATTTTTGTCGCGTGCAAAATCAATCGTCGAAAATCGTGAGGATTGAATATCGTGAAATAGGTACAATATCTCTTATTTTTGATAAGCATCGAGCACCTGTGCATTAACTTTGCGAAGAAAATATCCAAAAGTGTACATCGTAGAATATAAATATATCATTGATGAATTTGTTAAAGGGACCAAGCGCCATCAGGCTCGAATGAATGTAATTTCATCTCGTCGTCAAGGAAATGAAGGAAACAAGTTGGGAACGACAAATGGGGCACCTGCTGCTGTTAGAAGCGTGAATTTACAGTAAAATCCGCAAAATCAGTGTTTTGGCAACACATGAAGCAATGTCGCGGCTGCAGACACGCGTCTTCTACGGGCTTCGGACCGACGTCTCGGGGAACGCGCACTTTGTCACCGACGACGAGGTTCTCTACCTGGTCGGCAATGCCCTCGCCTTGCACAACTACTCGCAGCGTCGTCAGAGGCTCATACGACTGCCCGACAGGCACAAAATCAATTTGATGACCATAGCGCCCAACAAGTGAGTGCCTCATGACGATAACTGACAATTTTCAATGATATGGTGTTAAAATATAAAGTACGATGATGTTTTATGTAGAAAGTACGCGGCTCTGTGCGAGGTCGGGGAAAAGCCGTTGATCACGATCTACGACCTGGGCACGATGAAGAGAAAAAAGTTGCTCGGCATACCGCACGAGTTTGCCGGCTCGAGCGGTTTCTCGTGTTTGTCCTTCACGTACGACAGTAAGTACTTGGCGGCGGTGACGGACGAGAATCAGACGATGTTGTTTTACAACTGGGAAAAGGGTAAGATCGAGTCTAGCTCGGACTTGAGCAACGCGCAAAACCTCGCGTCGAAGGTGCACTTTGTCTCCTGCAACCCCAGTGACGTTGGGATCATGGCCGTGGCTGGTAGCTACGTCTTCAAGTTCCTCACCGTGTCCGAAACCATCTGGAGGCCGTACGGCTTCGCCAAGGCGGACAACTTGCTCGTTACCTCGATCACCTGGCTCAACGGCGACCGACTCCTCGCCGGGCTCTCGGACTCGCGGATTCTCTTTCTGGAGAACGGCGACCTCAAGAACATCTTCCGGATCGCCGACGTCACGCTCATGAACCTTAAGATCCGCGAGGAAGTGGTACTGCATCCGGTGGCTGATGCGACTACCACGGCCCAGCAGCCACAAGAAATACTGTGCCTGACCTCCTTCCATCGTGGCTTTGCCCTCGCCTTGGGTCTCGGGACCATCGTGGTGTTCGAGAAGGATGGTCAGCACAAGTACGTCAAGCGGAACGCGTACACCATCCCGAGCCAGCCTTCGATCGAGACCGATCGGGATCACTACCGAGTTAACGCGATGAGCGCGAATCCGAGCGCCGATAAGTTGGTGGTGACCTGCGGCTGGTCGCAACTATTTTGCGCCAATCTCTGGGGCCCGGAATTGAAGGACGATTCCAAGCCCGAGGTTCTCGACGTCATTGGCCACAATCTTCATCACGGGCCCATCGGTGGTCTCTCGGTCTGCACGTGGAAGACCCACGTTGCGACCTACGGCGATCTCGACCACAGCGTCCGGCTCTGGGACTACGAGGACGAAAGCCTGATCATGGTCAAGCAGTACCTGGAGAGGATATCTTGCGTCGTGCTGCACCCAACTGGCCTTTTCTGTCTCATTGGCTTCAACGACAAGCTCCGATTCATGAGCGTTCTCATCGACGATTTTTTGACGATCAAGGAGTTTCCGATCCGCAGCTGTAAAATAGCCGCCTTCAGCTACGGGGGCCACGTATTTGCCGCCGTCAATGGGAATATTATTCAAGTGTACAGTACGATGGATTTTAGCACTCGTTTTTTGCTCAAAGGTGATAAACTGTAGAACCTGTACTAGGTAAAGGTGCTATTTTTGTTTCAATCGAGTTTTTAAGTTGAAATTTCCAGGCCACTCGGAAATAATAAGCGGAATGACGTGGTCGCTTAACGACAGGAAACTCGTTAGCTTCGGAACCGAAGGTGCCATTTACGAGTGGGACATGAGCAACGGTTCGAGAGTAAAAGAGATCGTTTTGAAGGGCGTGATGATCCAAGGAGTTGTTTTACTGTCGAGCGGAACTGAGATGTACTGCATTTCGAGCGATGGCCTCATTCACGAAATCAAAGAAACCACAGTGATTAAACATTATTAAAATACCACTGACGACAAGCATTACTGTAAGCATAAGAAAAAATACATGTCAATTTTTATAGGTGATCAGATCATACAACGTACCCGAAGTACAACTGCGTAGCATCGTCATTGGAAAAGATGATTCGCTGATATTTGCAACTTACCCTAATGGCTTTGTAGCATCTTTGAAATATCCTCTGCAGAACCCAGTAGAATATAACGAATATCACGTACATTGCGCGGACATCACTCAGGTATTTTTACACAATGGAAAAGTAAAATTACAAAAATTTCACGTCATGTTGTTATTTAGATGTGCTTGACATACGATGAAAACGTTTTAATAACTACCGGCGTCGATGGCACAATGTGCTTTTGGAAAGTTATGTATACCGACGGTAAAACTACTTCCGTAGGCCGAGATCTCCTTTACCTGGATCAAATATTGATTGGCCGAAGTGACCTCGGTGACAAAGTGCAAAACATTCGCGATCTAACCACCCGCATTAAAGAAGTGGAAACGGAGAACGCGTACAAAATGCGTCAAATTTCGATCCAACACAACGAATTGGTACGCGATATCCATGAGAGCTATTGTGAAGCGATGGAAGAACTGCGAGATAAGATCGATAAGCTGGAAGACGATCATACGAGTGAGATCAATACGATTAATGTGGAGATTGCGAGAAATATGGCTGCCCACGAGGAAGCCATGCGTCAAATGGAGATCAGCTATGATGCAAAGTTGATCGTCGAGTATGACAAGTACAGCAAGTTCGAGGCGCACAATAATACTATGCGTCAAGACTACGAACGCAAGCTTGCCGATCTCGCTAAAAAAAGTAAACGTGAACTAGGTGAGTAGACGGTTACGACTTTACAAGTTATCACATTAGTTTGCAGAGGTCTGATTGATAAAAAAATTTTTCATCCATTAGATGAAACAATAGCAAAGTACGAGGATCGACTGAGGGAAAAGGAGCTGCAGCTCACAGAGGCTCACGAAGAAATAAGTCAGGAAGTTCATGTTCACGAAATGATCAAAGAACAGATAGAGGACGACACAGATCGCGAGATTATAGAGCTTCGTACCTACTACGAGACTTTATTGAACGACGAGAAACAACATATATTAAAATTAAAGGGTGAATCTGGAGTTTTAAGAGGCCAACTCGCGATGAGCCAAAAAGACTTGGAAGAACTCAATTGGCAGCTGAAAAAGTTGCGAGATGACTATACACAGCTCAAGGCTCGAAAAGAGGAATTGGATGACAACGTGGCAGATTTGAAAAATGAGGTTGCGGATAAGGACTCAACCATCGTCAGTAAGGATAAGACAATAGGCAAACTTGAATTGTCGAATCAGGAACTTGAAAAAATTAAGTTTGTGTTGGATCATCGAGTGCTTGAGATGTCAAAACAAATAGAGCCCCGCGATCGCGAGATCAGCGAACTTAAAGAAAAGATTGCTGACATGGAGACAGAACTCCTAGCTCTCAACAACATCAATCAAAACCTTGAATTGAAAATCGTAGGACTGCAAGAAAAATTAAGCGCTGCGAAACGTGAGACTCAGAATGAGATTGGTCTACGAAAACGAAAGCAGCAACTACTCAGAAGAATACGCATTGACTTGATCAACACTACTGCCCTCATTCAACAACCGGGTGCTCTAAAGAACGCTGTCATTAAATTGTACAATCAGTACAGTGCGAGTGACCAGTTGAAGCGAAGTCACCAGGCAGACCTCGACGCGCAGTACGAATTTGCCAAGCAGAGAGATCACCTCGAGAACACCATTACTTTGTTGAAAAAGCAATTGGCTCGCAGTGATTCGATGAGCGATACTCCTTACGATAAACTCTTGGATGACAACATATTTTTACTATCGGAGCTAAATGCGCTGCGAGATGAGCTGAGAGCAAGTCAGAGGCACACCTCGGATATGGAAGGCTTATTGGGCATTAGAGGTAAAGAGATTGGTCCAACGGAAGCAAGAAATAAAGTGTTTAAAATCATTCGTGGTAATGAAGAACTGAAGCGCGAATACGAGGTGAAACTTCAAGATTGCGAAAAAATCATCGACATACTGAAAGAAAACATTTCGGAACTGTACTGCAAACTTTTCGAGTATGACACCAAGGATGAAGTGGTTCTTTCATAAAAATGAACAAGCTTTTTTACCTCGAAAATACAATTTTATTCAGACAGTAAAAATGCTAACAAAAAAAATGCACGACACCAGGTATTTATGTATTTTTCTTAAATAGTAGTCTTTGTTCACTAGGAATGCGTTCATTTGTTCACAGAACGAACGGAATGATGGCCTTGCGACATTTAGGGTAGTCTGAGAACTCTTTTTTATATGATTTATGCTTTCCTAAGGCCCACACAGTCATTTGGTAAGCGCCAGCGAGTGCAAAGAAACCAGCTGGAATGAAAATTATTTTCTCTTAGTGTGTAGAAAAATAAGAATTTTGAAAAAAATTTTATTTCTTTCAAAACAAACTGTAGTTCTTAGTGTAAAAAAAAAAAAAAAAAAAAAAAAAAAAAGTACATTTACCTGGTAGGCACTGCGTTAAAATGGTGAAACCAATCCAGCTTCCGATTTCATAAGTGTAATTGGGACAAGAAACAAAATTAAATAGCAAAGTAAACGGATTGCCAGTAGGTACTGGAATTTTTCTCACAGTAGTTCCTGGAGGCCTGAGGTTCCTCAGTGCTATATGGATACTCAAATTACCCAGTTCACAGAGAATAAATATCGCCGAGCCAATGATAAATTTCATGCTACTTGGTGGCGTGTACAATGGATGATTGACATGATATGACACGTATGCAGCAAACAACCAATAATAAGAGCAATTTTTAAAGAGGTTCATAAGTGGCATAGTCGCATGGCTGAAGCGATGGACAAACAAAGTCTCCAGTAATCGCTTGACGTAATGAATAGACCAGAATACCGCTGCCCATCTACGGCAAATAAGTTTATTTTAAGCAATTACCACAGTAGTATTAGTATATGCAAATGAGGCAATAAAACTTGGAGTTTTTCCTCTTACTGTGCGACAGAATCCATCTTTGCGTCGACGTCTCCGTAAAAAAGCCAGGGCCTCTGATAGAGCCATAGGTACATGCCGAGTGGTCCAGCGTACTCAGCCAGAAAGACGGTCTTCCAGCCAATCTGTGGCCCCAAGTCCTTGTAGTACAGCTTGGAGCCATACTTGAGCTGCAGGTTCTTGATCGTTTCAGAGTCCGAAAGAGCCCTGCCTTTGGGCTCGAGGCGCAGGCATATCCTCTCCGGTTTGGGCGCTTTCTTGTTACTGTGCAGCTGAAGCTTGAGTTCACGTATTGTCGTCGTTGGGTGCGCCTGCCAACAACGAATTGTCAATAAGTAAATAAATTAATAAGCACATCGAAGACCATCAGAACATGCACGACCGGCCGGCACGACAAAGCTCAACTTAGCTGGCTCATTGCAGGTGTTTCATAACAGAAAGGGTTAACGAAATAACAACTCAAGTACTCCTAAACTCCAGGGGTAGGTATCAAGCGTAAGCACGAGCTTTTACGGGACAACCATTATTAAACTTTAATCGTAGAACGTTTATCTAATACACGTAGGTACACGGTACGGTCATTTAAAAACGGAGCAAAAATACGCTTACTCACCGTCAGCGAGGCGACTTTCTTGGAGCTCTTGGCCGTCACTACCTCGATCTGCAATGCAAAACACAACGAATTAGATACATATAGTCACACGGAACGGCGTACTCCAGCTGATGCTGCAACAGCAGGAGAGACGGACTCTCGTCCTTCACTCACCTCCATCCTTATTATTTGTTTGCTAAAAGAGAGCTACAAGTCTTATTTGATAATGACGGGATTAGTGATAAACGATGCGAGAGACTAGAAATGGGCACTGTGCACTCCACTCACTATCGGTATCGGTCACTACTTATTCCATAATCCGTGTGCCAGCCAAGTGTTACGTTACCTGTACACACTCTACACTACAGACTACACATTTGTTACCTCTACTACAGAGAGTATACTGGTATAGGGAGGTATACCTACTAGGCTTCTAGTATACCTACTCTGCTTGCCACGTTGCTCCACTGCAAGGCGCTGCGGTGCCGCTTTTAAAAAGCTTCCACTGCGACGTTGATCTGATCTGAGATCTTATTAAAAAAATCCATCCTCTCTAGCACTTTGAATGTAGGTAATTTATGTTTAAGATAAATACTTACTGAGCGCATGAAAATGAAGGACAAAAAAAAAACTGTTTGAATACGTACAACTAAAAGTTTAAGGTATACAGTTATTACAGTTACGAAGCAGGAAATTAATGATATTATCGCCCTTTATTGGCTCTGTTGAATGAAGTTTGTCAATTAAACTTCACGGAGTAAGTATATTTTTAAAGTACAAAAAACTCATTAGCTCGAATGAAATTGTTTTCAAATTTGTACAATTCAATTCCAATTAAAACAATGAAACTTGAAGATGCAAAAAGTTTTTCACGGGCTCCGTGAATTTAAATTCATCATCTAATTTAAAACTAAATACGAGTACATCACTGCAGCATTACTCCTCCGAAGGGCAAAGAAAACATATGGTCGTCCTTGGCATACTTACTAATTTCGTCGAAATAGTCGTAGAAACACCGTAACACTCGCATACGTGTGCATATTATGTAGTGTTTCATAATTACCAGGAAAAAAAAAAAAAACAAAATATACCTTAAAATAAACTGTACATAATAAGCGTAATTGTCGTGTATTATACGTAGCCCATCTCCCGAAGCTCTTGGTTTTGATTGAACTCTGCGCGCACCTATCTAGCCTGCAGCTCTCACAATTAGTGTCGTCTCTTTTGTGAGTTCTCCTTATATTTTTAAGCCTCGCATCGGTCACGCGCTAATTCATTCACCGGGAAACGACGATCTCTGACCCCAAAACTGAATTGCCTCTCGTATATATACCATCGATACTTTTTTTTTCTCTCCCGCGACGCAATACTGAAAAATGAACTTTTTCAAGGCTAACAGGTTTTTTTTCTTATGGTCAATCATTTCGTGGATTTTTTTTTTTTCCTTAAAAAAAAAAAGTTACGAAAGTGGTGTCACTTCAATTGTTAGGATAAAAATATTTACGATGATGAATAATTTTGAGTTTTTTTGCTTCATGTAGTCCAACAATTTCGAAAAATATACGTTTCGACACAAAGTTTCTGTTAGCTTATTATAAACTTTTTGAAAACTCCAACAAGCTTGCATGTAATACGATAATATTGTACTTTCAGATTTCGGATAGACTAGAAAAAAAAATGAATCAAAATTATTTAGTATTTCCAAGATATAAATTTACACAGTTCAAGCTCAATTTTGATAAGAAATATTCAGAGTAAATTGGTAGGCATGTATCAATGTAATTATCGATGATTTTAATACTTCAAATCATAATCTTATCCAATGCTCAAATCAAACCCTGTCATCGCGAATTTAACTTATTTATCGTGTTCCCCCGCATTTTACTGAAATGTAAAAAATTATAAAACATTTCGGTTTTGCTCGACAGATAAAAAAGGTTCTACACTGTGAGTTTTCGGGGTTAACCAACAGATGGAAAAAGTGTGGTATACATGTGCGTCAATGATAGATACAAAGACGTTTGTCGGTAATAAACGATAAAAATAAAAACGTAAATTGTTTATTTATCAAACAAAGTTTTAAAAAACGTACAAAATATCGTCCGAAACTTCATAAAAGTCATTTATTCGTAAAAAAAAAAAAAAAGAAAAAAGAAAAGATTTTTGTCACAGTTAGAGCAACCCCGCTGTTTTTCGGTACTGGCCAAAGTGATCCAGGTACTGATGAATCGTGTCGATCGGTTGGTAAACTTCATTCATACGGTTCTGAAACAAAAGGTCATCATCACACGTATTTGTTGTAACTTGACGAATGAGGAAAAAAAAAAAAAAAAAAAAAGACCAATGTATAACACATTTACCTGCAAGTGCGGCGGTATCTGATGCGACATCGTGTTTCCGAGAAAACTGTGGACGAATTCGCGCATCAGCTCCCAACAGTTGGTAGGTACAATCATCGGGCCGTACTCGACCTGCGCGCCATCAACAGAATAATTTATATCAATCATCCGATTGGATATTTTATTTTTCAACCCAAGGATTTATAAAGCACAGCCACGCTTCGAGTGATTCACACCAACGCGACTCTGTTCTCGCTTTCCCCCCCCCCTCTCGCGCCTCTTTGCTCTTTGATGTTCGCTTCTTGGAAATTCTTTGTAAAAAAGGCGTTACAACGGTACAGCCGGTGTAGAAATAAGAGTTTTGGTGAAAGACGGCGCGCGATGATTCCGCGGCTCGTGTCCCATCATCGCTCCCCACTGATGGAGGGAGGGGCTCTATTTTCGTATCTCGCGCCTAATGCAACCACCCCGGGACTTTCCCCGCGGAAAACAACAAAAGGTCGGGCCGATCCGACTTTATCAATTTAAATTTAGACGCGAAAACGCGAGCGGAGGGGAAACAAAAAGAAACCATATATAGTCGCCGATGGCCGAGATTAATGGGTGCCATTCGTCTTGCTCTCGCTCCGTCGAATCAACGCGCCGTTCCTTTTCACTTATACGTTGCAAAGACGGAATAAAAAAGCAGAGCATTGATTGCAGACTGTCACGTGTACCCACCCACCCCACAAAGGAAAGATATCCGACGCTGCGTTTTTCACTCAGCCGAGAGGAAATCACATGTTTATTATTCGTCGCTCCTTCCCGTAAGTATAGATACTCTCGTGTGGGTTTTCGCAGAGACCCACACGGGGTGTTTGGACATGTACGTATAAATATATTGGGCGACGCGAGCTGCTCTCGGTGGATTAAAACTTTGACGACAAGTGTACACCCTAGTAAATATATTTAGGAAACTGAGCCAAGCATAATATACACGCGTATATTTACCTACCCGTGTTTTTTTTTTTTTTTTTTTTAACTTAAGCGCTGCAATTTTGGAGGGGCATCACGAAAATTATTACATACGAGAAAACGCGGTATCGAGGTTGTTTGTGTGTTTCACAAAAGTGACGCGGTCCAGCCCCATTTGCAACAGCTCTCCTCCTCGCGAACACAAACACAGAGAGAGAGAGAGAGAGAAGGTAGGGGTAATGTTTTGGGAGTAAAAAAAAGCAAGCAGACGCGCTAACCCGGTCATGCGCGCAAGACCCCGGAGAGAGCGACAATGGGCTCTCTCGCGTGCGTATATATATATATACGCGGGGGTGCGGAAAAAAGAAGCGCACGCCGCGGACGGGCACTTAAAAGCTAGCTCCCCCGGGAAAAACCGAGGGGGTGACCGCTCGCACACCGAGGAAGGGCTGGAATGTGGGCCGCGTGTGGGTAATGTATAAGTATATATTATACGTTTGTTTCACTTTGCGCCGAGCATACGTTTTTCCGCGAGCAAATGTAGGCCATATGTCACGCACGGCTGTAGCCCGAGATTTTTCGCGGGACAATTTGCGCAACGATTCGCGAACGAGGATGATAATAAAAGTTTTTATCTTCCGCACGAGCGAGCGTCCGTTACGAGAGATTTTGGAAAATGGAGGGTGTTGCATGGTTATAATATACTGTTGGAAAAACATGCTCACCTCGACGAGGACACCTTTGAAGTTCTGGGACATGGTGACCGTGCCGAGTTTGATGACCAAGTCGACATACTCGAACCGAGGTCCCTTGCACTCGATCTTCGTTTGCTTCTTGTTCGTGTAGATCTGAGTCATCTTGAGCATGAGCAGATCGAAGAGATTGTCGGCTATCAGGGGCACGACCTTGCTCCCGGTCTCCAGGATCGCGAACACCGAGGCCGGATGCTCCGAGTTGTGGAGCACGTGCACCGTCCGCTGCGGACCTGCAATACCATGCAAATTTCATTGTTTTATATATAATTGTCATACTTTTACCATTGATTTGCTCCTTGAAAAAAAAAAAAAAAAAAATCATCACTTTTTTGTCTTTTTCATTACCAAGCCATCTTCCGCTCAAATAAAAAAGAAAAAAAGAAAGAGAGAGAGAGAGAGCCATCGGAGCATAATTTCTCCAAATGTAAAACAAACAGCGACTCTTGTTTTAACCCCATTTAAGCACTTTGCGGGAATAATAACGATAAAAACGAGGGAGAGAATTAAGCGCCTCTGCACTCTCGTGTCGTATATACATAGTATATACAGTTGTGTGTGTGTGTATACACTCGCAAAATAACAGGGCTCTTATTTTAATACCCTCCCCCCGTTAGACTCGCTCAAATAGATTTGGGGTTGCAACCTGTCGACCCAATTGCTCGCGCGCATTGATCCCGCGCTAATTTGTCGCGGGGCTGTTTCCCCATCAGGGGTATGCTACGCTATGTTGGGCTTATCGATCCCCACGTCGATTGATTATAATACACGAATCCCCCCCCCCCACTCCATATCAATTTTTCTACATTATAATAATTATAATCTGAACACGTGACGCTCGAGTGAGTGTACAGCTGTAGGCTGCGGGTTTATTATATACGTGGGGCTGATTATCCGTGCCAAAGCTCGCAAGTACATACAAACAGCCGATTACGCGCGGACTCGCGTATACAATATAGCCGTCGGCCCTTTATCTCTCGGCTCCGCGAGCACTGCATAATTATTGTGTTACAATGTAATTGTCATTTATGCTTTCCGATGATAATATTGCGAGGAGACGATTTGCGACTGAAGCGCGTTTACATTAACAACGAGAGCCGTTGTGTGAGTTACCATCATCATCATAACGTTATCGTATATTATACCGTGTAAGAAGCCACGGTCGGTCCCCCTACGGCGACGCGTTTCAATTGAGCCGGCAGGTCGGCGGCGGGGATTAATCATCCGACGGCTAAACTTTTAATTGATTGTCAGCCGGAGTATATAGGGAGGAGAAAAACGTTACGGCCTGTCGTGCGCGACTGGTACGGCTCTCGATATATATATTTCGCAGCTCGAGCTCGTCTATGTGTGTTGCGTGAGTTTCCGCATACACATAATACCTATACACACATGTATTGAAATAGATAATAGTATACGAACGCACCTAATTGAATACAAAGTAAATGCAAATAGAGTAACATTTAGACGTGCGTGAATTATGTTATTAGTTATTACTCGCCCCAATTTTCTCTATTGAGGGGTGGATACCTGGTAACGCTGATAAAATCATTGCGTGTATCATAACGATAATTAGTGCGCGATGCTCTTACGAACTGGTGCGGCTAAAAGCCTTTCAGAGCCCGCACTGTGATCTACGTCGCAGTTCCGCCAGAGTTAAATTAAAAGAGCAACACGGAGATCCGCCCCTCCTATCCGCTTTCCTGTACCGAGAGATTAAAAATTTTCTCGCGCTGCCCCGCACCACGCACACGCGTGCACACCGAGAGAAAAATATAATAATAATTACTGTGCTAGAATGGTAATCTGGTACTGTTGGATCGTATAGAGACTTTTTACTATTGGAACAATCATTTTTAAGGGTTAGACGTCATTTTTGTTGCAAGTATTGTGATTGTACAATGGGAGTTACTGTCCGGAATGCTAAACGTTAGGGTGGCCAAAGTAAAAAGTCCCTAGAAATGGCACCGGATTACCATTCCAGCGCAGTAATTTTTATTATATTTTTCTCTATATGTACCTATATGTCAGAGGATTAAAACCGAATTCTGTGCATTTAAGCCCTATACCTACATAATTCCTGTGGTTCGCTTGTCGAAAAGAAAGAAAAAAGTCCTGTGAAAATTTCCGGACCGAGAGTGGATTCGGTCCGTAACATATATATGTATATAGGCGTTCCCTGCCACCTTCTTCCTCTCGGGCGTGTGACGCAGTGCGGAATCGCTTCGTACACGCGCCGTCGCTATGTTAACCACGCGCGTGTGATAAATATCGCTTGGCGTTTTATAATACGTATGCACTTACTCTCGAGCCAGCACAAGCGCAATTAGAGGAGACACCCGAGTCTCTTCCTCTTGCGGCGGATTAGAGCCGATTTTTGTTTATTAGCCGGGCGACGGGTTCTCCGATGGGAACTTTTTTTTCCACTGGTGCAATTCACAAAGAGGAAGACGGAGAAGAGCTGCTACCTGCCCTGCAGCTCAATGGCAAATGAAAGTTGGCTTAATAAGATTTGCGCGCGGGAATCTCGGGGGATTAGGGAGTGTTTAAGCCTCTCTGCGGAATAATGCCTCTTTTTCTTCGACCTTTTGCCCCGAACGGCGCATAAGTACCTACACCCTACCGGTTCTCCACATTGAGGCTTTTTCTTTTTNGTGAAAAATTACACCCGCGAGCGCCAACTGCCGCAATTTATAACGCAATTTCGGACCGCGCAGACTTTTGGTCTTTATTTATACATCTTTGAACCTTACGTGTATGGTGTTGTATGACGTGGGTCGTATGTACACCCTTTTTTTTTTTTTTTTTTTTTTTTTTTTTTTTTTTTTTTTATTGACCGAGAATTAAAGGAGGAGCTTTGGCGAGTGCGAGTTCGTGATTTGCGGTCCAGGGGTATTTTATTTTGGCGATCGGAGGAGCCTGCATGGTAAATGCGTATACTTATCCAATATATGGGCGGCCAACGATGAATGTCATTGTGCAACTGTTATTTATTCACTTGAACGTGAAAAGACAAAAAATTACAAATTATTTTCCCATTGTGCACCGTAAGCTCATTTACTGTAATTTTTTTTTCTCGTTGTAACAATATAATACATGCTTGTTCAAGATGCCTTTGACTGTGTATTGATTACAAAAGAGGTCCCGCTCTCTAGCCTTTCACGATGACGATGGTGATTCGGACCATTTACGGGCTAGTACCCAAATCGTTCATTCACGCTGATTGGACATTTTTGAGATATTTTATTGGAGAAGTATAGGATTTCGACGAGTTTTTCCGTATGATGGATACAACGTTAAAGCATCTTTTTTTATAAGTTTAAAATATTTTAATCTTATTAAAAAAAGCGACAAATTAAAAAAAAATCGATATCACGTATTTTGCACGTTAATATATTTTAAATTGATGACTATCATAAAATCATTAAGGGATTCAACTATAAAAATAAAAAGAGCTTCGTGAAAATCACAGGAATCTTTTGCATATAATTAAGAGTATCTCAGCACACAGTGTATCGATAAATTAGGAAAAAAAAAATGTGAAACTTGTTAAATATCCCCATGTTTTATGTTCAATGAATCTGTCAGGTATGAACTATTCTCAACTGTAACATGAAATTTCCTAAATATAGTGCCATCAGGAGTCATAAAATTCTCATGATTATACATGTTGCTTGTACCAATCAAAGTGCGAACAGTTAAAAATTGATTGAAATAAAACCGTATAGCGCCGCATTCACGTTGACGAAAACGTGTCACACACACACACACGCTCAACAGCGATATTAATTAATACATGCACGTAATGTATATACATCGTTCTCACTAATCAATTCCACAAATTCGTGACGCACACATACGTGTATATAAACATATACGCTGTAAATGGAGGATTACGTGTATCATTAACGTCGAGTCGAGCCAAATGGTCGGAGGCACGCAGTACCAATAGCAGCTAGATTGAAAAAAAAAAAATTTATCAGTCCGCGAGAGTATACTTACCCCAATGATCGATGTGTAAAAGCGCTCATCGCTTTTTTGTTCGCAACTATACGTGAAATAAAACACCAAGTGACTTTAAAAGCCAGAGGAGGTAAAAAAAAAAAAAAAAAGTTTTCGAGAAAACGCACTCGATAATAAGTATAGCCGGCCAATGAGCCTCGTGGAGGACCATCAGGACGTGCATCACCTTCCAAAAGAGGGGACGCATCGGGGCTCACAAAGAAACCCCCAAACGCGAGCGTTTATATTTAGCCACGTATACACAGTTGGCGAGTAGAGTTCTCGGGTGGGAAAAGTTTTTCAGGGCGGACATTAATCCTCCGGTGTCACTGCGTACCAGGAGGCTCTTTGCTCTAATCCGACGCTCTCCATCTCGGCGTCGAGTCGGACGGACAGCTGTTGGGATATATACGTAGATGCGGCGGGTATTTCCGCGACAGGTTCTTTCGCAGAACGGCTTTGCAAAGTGCATCTCGCGTGTATAAGGTACCCCCCCTCCCTCCCTTCCCGGGAGTCTTGACCCATTGCTGCGTTGCCCTCGCGTCCGGTGGTCCGAGCTAACGCGGCCTCACCCGCGAGTCTCTAAATATCGGGAGATGGATGTGGATTGTACCCGTTTTGTACGCGATGTAAATATGTTGTACACACCAACCGCAGTTTCGTTATCTGCGTGCATCCTGTCACGGAAACGGCCTCGCACCTATACGGACGACGGTTTATTTATAAATAAATATTACAAGGTGCTAGCATCCCCGTGCCTCGAGCTGCTCTGGATACATGTAACTCATAAGAAGCTCTGGTTTGTAATACGTGTCTACTTTTGTTTCTAATCGAATTTGCGAAATTACGTTTAATCGCATTGCCGAAAACGGCCGTCATATACGATAACTCGTTGAAAGCATTGCATTTGAACTGATTCTCTTTAACACACGCGGGGTGCAACGGTACATATAATATCGTTACACATGAAGGGGGGGCTGATGATAAAGCCATTGCGAATACGGGGGGGCTGGAAAAATTAATCCGCTGTACGACCGGATTCAATGGGCGGGATGGATAAAAATTGCGAAAAAAAAGGTGACGACCTCGACTTTGAGGGATAGCGGCGATCGGTTGTCAGTGGCGTCGAGTCATCGCCGTTTAATCGGATGAAAAATTACAAGTATAAGTCGGGTGATGTTTATTAATTTCAAAGATGGAAGATGCGAATAGCCGTTTTTAAC